TACAAAATAGTTTAATCACGTTAAATTTATTTAAAAGGGTTAATGCCGGTGAAATGGCATGTATCTGATCTGCTCATGTTGAGTCTTACATGCATTTCCCCCCCCCCCTTTAGATAACTGAAAGTTGGGATGCATTGATTGAACCCAGACTAATAGTTGACCCTCCGAATAACAACGAATCAGGCACGGGAAATGGAAATCCCTAAGCTGGGAAGTTACTCATCTGTAAATAGTCTGTGAAATGCTGTCCTTCCGTTTCTGAAGATAGTGTATGCAAATTGCTGTTGTTGTTTTTTTCTAAAAAAATAAAGGATTTCAAAAACTGAAATGAGGTTTAAGAAAAGTTTGTGCCATGGTTCAGGTGCTTGTTCTGAGATGTTTACATTAAGAGCCAAGTATTTTCATAGGGCTATGGAGTCTATTTCAGTGGAGGAACTTGATCAGCTCCCTGCCCTCTCTATTAAAGCGAACAATAGGGAGATCAGCATTTTTGTTGGGAGTCTCTCCCATGGGTAAAATAAAAGGGGGAGGAAAGAACTTCTTCAAGATTTGGTAATACAATTGTATTATGAAAGCATGCAAAACATACTTCCTGCAACCTAGCTGCCCATGATGGGTGTAAAAGCTCACAAACGGCCTGCAAGGGCTTCCTCATTCCTCATTCACGGAGGGTTGGCTTTTAGCAAGCTAAGCTATACATGCAGTAAAGGTAAAGGATGCAGGTGGCGCTGTGGTCTAAACCACTGAGTCTCTTGGGCTTGCCAGTCAGGTTGGCGGTTCGAATCCCCATGACGGGGTGAGCTCCTGTTGCTCTGTCCCAGCTCCTGCCAACCTAGCAGTTTGAAAGCATGCCAGTACAAGTAGATAAATAGGTACCGCTCCAGTGGGAAGGTAAATGGTGTTTCCATGCGCTCTGGCTTCCATTGCGCCAGAAGCGGTTTAGTCATACTGACACGTGACCCAGAAAGCTGTCTGTGGACAAACGCCGGCTCCCTCGGCCTGAAAGCGAGATGAACGTCGCAACCCCGTAGTCGCCTTTGACTGGACTTCACCATCCAGGGGTCCTTTACCTTTTTACCTTTTACATGCAGCAAACTGCCTCACCAAACAAAATTCAGAAATGTGCCTTTCACATAGGTGTACCTTACACAGGTGGGGGGCGCATTGTGAGTGTGACTGGATACTGAGCGCTTGACTCACTTTGGTTATGCATTTAGCATACTGCAAAAATTATGTAAGTGATATTACTGTTTACTGTTTGCAATGTCATGGATCACCTCCAGCTGAAATTATCAAGAGCACAAGCTGAACTTGCCAACAAACAGTACGAGCTGGCACAGCATCGCGAAACTTGCTGCCATGTGCTGAGTCATGAAATTGTGGCAACCCTACCTTTGGGCAGGGTTCACCGTTGTTCAAACACTAGGACAGATCATAATTTTAAAAATGCCTCTAAGCTTCTGGGACGTGTGCTTCTCTCCACCACTCCCAATTAAACTAACGTCTCATACACATAGCTGTCAGCTTTTCCCTTTTCTTGCGAGGAATCCTATTTGGAATAAGGGAATTTCCCTTAAAAAGGGGGAAAGTTGACAGCTATGCTCCTACATTGTTTTCTCCGCACATGTGTAGGTTGCAAAGGAGCCGGGAAACTCATAGACGTCAGCATTTATTTTAGGCATGAGTGTCACCTGTCCATTTTGGCAGGTGTCTTATTCATAAGGTATCCAATTCCAACAAGTGGGATTTGGAACAAAATGTTGTGGTGTAGCCTCAGGGAACAGGGAACCTTAGGCCCTCCAGTTGTTGCTGAACTACATCTCCCATCATCCCTGGCTACTGACCATGCCTGCTGGGGCCAATAGGAGTTGTAGTCCTGCAGCGTCTGGAGAGCCTAAGGTTCCCCACATGCCTTAGCAAGAGGGCTCCCAATTTAGGGCAAGAAACCAGCCGTATCCTCCAGAGCAGAGTCTCCCATATTTGGGTCTCCAGCTGTTTTTGAACTATTAAGTCCCATCATTCCTGACCACTGATTCTGCTATATAGGGATGGTGAGAATTGTAGTCCTTCTTTAGCAATCACTTGTAGCCAAGTACCGTAAGATTGTCTTCCATGAACACGGTCTTAACAGTGAGTCCGTAAGTGACTGTGGAGGCCAATTCTGGATCCACACGTCCTTCCACAGTGGGGACATAGGTTTCCAGGCGGGAGTTGATCAGGGTGAGGGTTTGCCAAGCATGCCTTCCTCTTAGCACGTTTTCCCCTTTCATCCTGAGTTTGAGCATCTTCTTTGGTAAAGGCTGTTCTCCAACTGGAGCGCTCGCAGGCCAGTGTTTCCCAGTTGTCGTTGTTTATACTACATTTTTTTAGATTTGCCCTGAGAGAGTCTTTAAACCTCTTTTGCTGACCACCAGCATTATGCTTTCTATTCTTAAGTTCAGAATAGTATAGTTGCTTTGGAAGACGATAATCAAACATCTGTACAACATGACCAGTTCAACGAAGTTGATGTTGAAGAATCATTGCTTCGACACTGGTGATCTTTGCTTCTTCCAGTACACTGGCATTAGTTCGCCTGTCTTCCCAGGTGATGTGTAAAATCTTTTAAACATCGTTGATGGAACACCATTGATGGAAACACCGTTGATGGAATCTTTCGAGGAGCTGGAGATGGCATTCATAAGTGGTCCACGTTTCACAAGCATACAGTAAGGTTGGTAGTACAATAGCTTTGTAAACAAGCATTTTGGTTTTCCTGCGAATGTCCCAGTCCTCAAACAGTCTGCACTTCAACAGCAGTTGGAGATCCAAGTTTGGGAAGCCCTACTGGCGAGTATTATAAACTGCAAAGGGTGCAAGGTGGCCAACTGATTGTCCTTTCCTACAACTCCACTGCAAGAATTCCCTGCCTCCTAAGCAGCAGTAAGCAGGCTGTCTTCACTGGGCTGGTGAGAGGGGATCAATTCCCACTTAAAAAAATAAATCTGTAAACCTCAAGGTCCCTGTGGCATTCTCTTGTGCTCCTGTCTTGGTTCCCATCCTGCCAACACTCCCCACCAGAGCTCGCTGTTAGAGGGAGCGATTAGTCACCAGCAAGATACATGATGTGAGCAAATAGAACAATGATGTGCCCCTTTATACAAACACACACATTCCTCCTGTGCCAAGAACTGATTCATGTCTATCACGTGATTTTCCTTACGTTGATCACTTGGCATTGATGGATGGCGGAGTAATGCATATACCGTGGTAAGGTAAAGGGACCCCTGACCATTAAGTCCAGTCGTGACCGACTTGGGTTGCAGCGCTCATCTCGCTTTATTGGCCGAGGGAGCCGGTGTACAACTTCCGGGTCATGTGGCCAGCATGACTAAGCCACTTCTGGTGAACCAGAGCAGCGCACGGAAACGCCGTTTACCTTCCCGCAGTACCTATTTATCTACTTGCACTTTGACGTGCTTTCGAACTGCTAGGTTGGCAGGAGCAGGGACCGAGCAACGGGAGCTCACCCTGTCGTGGGGATTCGAACCGCCGACCTTCTGATCGGCAAGTCCTAGGCTCTGTGGTTTAACCCACAGCGCCACCCGCGCCCCTTTTATATACAGTGGTACCTTGGGTTAAAAACTTAATTCGTTCCGGAGGTCCGTTCTTAACCCGAAACTGTTCTTAACCTGAAGCACCACTTTAGCTAATGGGACTTCCTGCTGCTGCCGCGCCGCTGCTGTGTGATTTCTGTTCTCATCCCGAAGCAAAACTAACCCGAGGTACTATTTCTGGGTTAGCGGAGTCTGTAACCTGAAACATCTGTAAACCTGTCTCATCCAGTTAGGACAGCAACCAAGCAACAAGAACTGCACACACCCCTTCAGCAACCTCCATTTGTCCAGCACGGATGTTTTCGGGACATGCAGCACTCGATCGCCATCATGACAGACCCCTCCCTGGGAATAAAGTCTTGTTTATAGGGGCCAACTCCTACAGTGCAGAGGTCCCTTCGCCCACCCCCCCTAAAATATTTAAGGGGTCTGTGCCCCCCCCCAGTTAATTGCCATTGCAATTCAAATAGTGTGGGCGTGCATGTGTGCGCCGTCATGTTATCGATTATGCGTGGTGTGGTTTACTTGCCCCCCCCCCAATATTTTATTCAAGTTGGCAACCCCCCTGGCCCCGTTACACTTCCGAGCAAACCTTTGCACAGAAACTGTGTGCATGGACTGCAGTTCACTCCTAAAGCAAGCAAGCAAGCACCCAAACATGGGCATTGCCAAGGGGGCGTGGCAGAGAGGCAGCTGCCCACCAATCAATAAAACTAACTGCATGGACATAGCCAGGATTTTTGTTGGGGGGGGGAGAACCTCAGGGAACTACGGTGTGTATTTTTATTGATGGGGGGGCAACTGCCCCTCTCTGCCTCCCCTCGGCTATGCCCCTGACTAGCTGAGGTTCTGCCCCATCTAACATAAGGCCTGCCCTCCCCAGGATTTTTGTTAGGGGGGGCAGGCCTTTTGTTTGGGGTGGGGGGAGAACCTCAGGGAATTATGTATTTTTATTCACGGTGGGGGCAGCTGCCCCTCCCTGCCTACGCCCCTGACTGGCTAAGGTTCTGCCCCCTCTAACATAACTTTTGCCCTCCCCAAGATTTTTCTTAGTGGGGGGCAAGCCTTTGGGGGGGCAGAACCTCAAGGAGCTATGTATTTTTATTGATTTGGGGGGAGGGCAGCTGCCCCTCCTTGGCGACGCCCCTGACTAGCTGAGGTTCTGCCCCCTCTAGTATAAAGCCTGACCCTCCCCCCCCCCAGCAAAAAAATCCTGCATGCAAAGGAGCTCTCTTTCGTCTGAGATAGGCTGGGCTTACTCGCGAGCAAGCGGTGACACCTCATTCCCAACCCCGCACCCCCCTCCCCTCGCCGCGCAGGAATTGCCCGGGGACGAGCATTGGGCGAAATGCAAAGCCGTCTCCCGTGCTTTTCCTTAAGCGGCGAAGGGGAGAAGAGCGAGACGCGAGCACGCGCCGGCGCCCCGCCCCGTCCAGGCGCGCCCCCGCCCTGCGGCTCTCCGGGCGGGGGGCCACGTGATTTCCTGGAAAGAGGGCAAGGCGCTAGGTCTCTTTAAGTTTCGCTTTCCACTTTGCAAACGCTGCCAGTTGCTGCGACGGGCGGGTTGGGACTGCGGGGTCCGCTTCTGTCTCCGTTCCTCTCGCGCGCCCCAGCCATGGCTCAGCTGCTGCGCGCGCCCTCGGCCCCTTCCCTGGTGGGCTTGGAAGAGGAGCTGACCTGCTCCATCTGCCTGTGCGTCTTCGAGAGCCCCGTGACCACCCCGTGCGGCCACAACTTCTGCCTGCCTTGCCTGGAGATGACCTGGTCGGGCTTGCTGAGGAACTTCTGCTGCCCTCAGTGCAGGAGCTCCTTCGACAGTCGCCCCGAGCTGAAGAAAAACACGGTCCTGTGCAGGGTGGTGGAGCAGTTCCAGAGCGCCCAAGGCGAGCCCGCCGAGAAGAAGAAAGGCCTTGGAGATGCCACCACCAAAACCAGCACCACCACCACCACCAGCACCCGCTCTTCGGTGGCCTGTGACAGTTGCCTGGAGAAGGTGGCCGACAAGACCTGCCTCACCTGCATGGCCTCCTTCTGCCCGGAGCACCTGCGGCCGCACCTGGAGAGCCCCGCCTTCAAGGGCCACCAGCTGGTGGCGCCGGTGAAGGACCTCCAGCGGCGGAAGTGCCAAACCCACCAGAAGCTCCTGGAGTTCTATTGCAAGGAGCACAGCAGCTGCATCTGCTGTTTTTGCTTGGTCACGCACAAGGCGTGCGCCACCGTCCCCTTGCAAGAGGCCAAGGACGAGAAGGAGGTGAGACGGGGCCTTGCCCGGCTTCTGGCGCCGCCCAGGTGTACAGCCGTACCTTGGAAATCAAATGGAATCGGTTCCGGAAGTCCGTTCGACTTCCAAAACATTCGGAAACCAAAGCGCGGCGTCTGATTGGCTGCAGGAAACTCCTGCAGCCAATCGGAAGCCCCGTCGGACGTTCGGCTTCCAAAAGAACGCTCGAAAACCGGAACAGTCACTTCCGGGTTTTGATCGTTTGGGAGCCGAGGCGTTCGAGATCCAAGGTACGACTGTATTGGATTCCCAAATCCCGTCAGCCCCGGCCAGCACAGCGAATGGTCAGAGGGGCGACATGGAGATTGTCATCTAAATTTGGAAGGCGTGTGGCCGGGGAAAGGCTGGTCTGTGTCGCAAATGTTGCTCATGCGGCCTTGCAGTTAGGCACTCGCCTGGTAGGCACAGAGGCCAGTGAGCAGGCTGGTTGAGGAGGGGCGGAGCACTATGGTTTGGCGGCAGAGCGTGTGTTCATGGCGTCCGGGAAGGGGACGCAGTGGGCGAAAGGAGCTCACCACGTGCCAACCTAGCTCTCAACCCAACCAGAACAGCACCAGCCCTGAGCTGCTTTGTGAGGCCTTGCAAAGCGACTCAAGGAGGGCGGTGAGAGAATCACGCTGTGTACCCTTCGATCAATGGACATAGCTAGGATTTATGTTGGAGGGCAGGACACCCGCTGGTCTGGCTCTGTCCAGCAGATTCAGAATGAACTGTCTCAACAACATTTCCTTTCTTTTGACCCCAAGTGCTCAAAATCTTTCTACAATTTCTACTTTTAGTCAAGTATTTCTATTTATTTGCTTTATTGGTGGGGGCAGCTGCCCCTCCTGCCCCCCGGCTATGCCCAGGGACTGGGATCAAAGGGCATGTGGCGGTTGCATTTTTATCACAGCACCCTCCCCGGATCCTAGTCTCGCGAAGCTATGGTTTCTATGCTGGGCGAAGAGGAGAGAAAACGGGGCTGGTGGAGGAGGGAGGCATGCTATTCAAAAATCACGATGTGAGGAAAACTGTGAAGCCAGCCAATGCCTCTACATAGCCCACCCCACCCCCTGTTATTTCAGACATTGCAATATACAGTTGTACCTTGGTTGTCAAACGCCTTGGCATTCAGACGTTTTGGCTTCTGAACGCTGCAAACCCGGAAGTGACTGTTCCAGTTTGCAAACGTTCTTTGGAACCCAAACGTCCGACGGGGCTTCCGATTGGCTGCAGGAGCTTCCTGCAGCCAATCGGAAGCCACACTTTGGTTTCCAAACGTTTGGGAAGTCAAACGGACTTCCGGAACAGATTCCATTCGACTTCCAAGGTACCACTGTACTCGTATATTGCAATGTTTAGCTGGTAATATATCACAAAGTTAAAAAACAGGTATTGCCCAACCTTAGTCAGGAATGGTCAGGAAGTATAGGAGTTGCAGTGTGTTAATATCTGGAGGGAAGCAAGTTCCTGTTTTTTGCTCAAGAGCAGGAACGACGTGTCTGTGAATGTCAGTAGCTGAACTGTACTCTTTTATTCTCTTAACAGTCCCAACTGAAGCAGAGACTAACGGAACTCTATGCTCTGAACGAGAAAGCTTTGCAGTCCTTGGACCAAGTGCGAGTGCAGCAGAAGCAAACCAGTGTAAGAAATGATTCGTGTTTTCACAGCTTGCTTTTGATAAGAGGGGCGGGAGATTTGTGCACCACAAGCGACCCGCCTTGCGTTGAAAGGGAAGACCAAGATGGCGGATGTGAGCCTCAGTCAGATAGCTGGTGGCCAGCTGGTTAACATCAGCCTGCCGTACCACAGTCTAATAATAATAATAGTAATAGTAATAATAATAATATTTTATTTATACCCCACCCTTCCCGGTTCAGAAAACCGGGCTCAGGGTGGCTAACAACAAATTTAAAACACTTAATTGTAATACAACATAGAAGCAGCATAAAATACAGTATAAAAACATGAATAACGATAAAATACAAAGTTCAAAAATCAATTTTGGGGAAATCCATCCAATAAGGCGTTAGATAGTCACCAGGGCTAGCTGGCTGAATTAGTCCTACTAGGACCAACGAGGAGGCCAGGGGAGAATTAGCTGTGGGGTCTCGGAGCAGGTAATTTTCATAAACGGGGAGAGAGAAGGAAGAGAAGGGAAATAAAAGATCAGGCTGAATTCAGATTAAGGGCCAGGTGGAATAGGTCTGTCTTATAGGCCCGATGGAAGGAGGTTAAATGTTACACTGCTGGTGGCAATAGATGTTTTCTATTATCCCTGGAAACGGCTCACAAACGTGATGAAGGAGACTCATTTTCCTACTGATATTGAAATACTGCCCCTCAATGAGGCCAAACTTAGATTCACAAAATGTTTAGGGGTATGCAGTTCCCTGCGTCTCCCCAGAAAAAAAGCAATATATGTGTGTGTGTGTGTGTGTGTGTGTGTATTATAATTATTATTAAATTTTCTAAATTACATTTCAGAATATTCATTTATATCCTTAAATGAATTACTTCCCTTCTTCTCTTTCTGTGGTTCAGTTTGCATACCATACATCTCTGCATATTTTACAATGTGAACTAAGCCATTCAGTAATCCAGTGTTACACCCATCAAATCTTATTTACAGAGTGTTTCTTTTTAAGGCACAACATGCAACAAAAGGTTGTTGTGTCTCCAAATAGGGCTCAGGTTTGGAAGCTGCCTATTGGTATTTAGAACCTGACCATTTTATTATACCTGTAGAGCAGGTTGTAAGGGACGCGGGTGGCGCTGTGGTCTAAACCACTGAGCCTAGGGCTTGCCGATCAGAAGGTCGGCAGTTCAAATCCCTGCGACGGGGTGAGCTCCCGTTGCTCGGTCCCTGCTCCTGCCAACCTAGCAGTTCGAAAGCACGTCAAAGTGCAAGTAGATAAATAGGTACCGCTCCGACGAAAAGGTAAATGGCGTTTCCGTGCGCTGCTCTGGTTTGCCAGAAGCGGCTTAGTCATGCTGGCCACATGACCCGGAAGCTGTACGCCGGCTCCCTCGGCCAATAAAGTGAGATGAGCGCCGCAACCCCAGAGTCGTCCGCGACTGGACCTAATGGTCAGGGGTCCCTTTACCTTTAGAGCAGGTTGTATGCTACCTCTGGAGGGTAGCAAAGCGGTCCCACTTTCATTTCCTACTGTAACATCCCTATGTAGTGCAGCAGTCTTTCATTTAACCTTGCGGCATACATCTCTGCTCATCCCTTAGTACAGGCATAGGGAAACTTGGCCCTCCAGATGTTTTGGGACTACAACTCCCATCATCCCTAGCTAACAGGACCAGTGGTCAGGGATGATGGGAGTTGTAGTCCCAAAACATCTGGAGGGCCAAGTTTCCCTATGCCTGCCTTAGTACCTCCTGTAACTATGCTGGTGACTTGAGTAGACCCATTCTCTCCGCTCCCCACAGCCCAACCCCCCACCTCCGATTTCATCTACCATTTCCCTTCTTAACTGACACCACAACATTTCATACATCCTGGAAGCTCACGGTTATTTGTCAATCCCTTTTGGGTGGTTTTTTTTTTAAGTTTTCTTTCTCATTTCCAAAATTTTTCTGTACCTCAGAAGTCTCTCCCTTTTTGTACAGGTGACTCTTTTCCAAGTACATGTCCTCTTGAGTGGGAAGAAGACAGAGAATGTGCAGTTTATTAAATCTGTTTTTTAAAAAAAATTAGAAATGCCTATTTTAAAATGCATGCTAAGGTCTTAGTGAATAAAACATCTCATTTTTTAAATAATAATTTTTATTGATTTCCAGTCTCAATCCAATAATAGCCTCATTATAACAAGACCAAATCATAATACAGTTACTAATACCAAATGTTCAAATACCAAATTATATAATTTACGTGGCTTCCCACATGCTAGAATTGATGGTTTGATTATTTTCTTTATTTCTGCGTTCCAAAATCTTACTAATTTCAATTACATTCTGGTCAGAATAATAATCCCTTATACAACAACTGCAGTATGAATAACTTCTATTTGTGTTGACATATTAGATGATTTATAGAACTAAAACAGTTCAGAAAGCTGTGTTCAACATTCACTTGAGGCTCCAGCTCTCTTCTTTGTGATCTCCCACCTTTTTGCTATAGAAAAATCTGACAACATTAAGCTTATTCAGTACTGATCCTGTAGAGTTCTCATTTGGCCTAATTACCCATTATCACTTTCTGAACTCTTATTTCCAAATGCATTTTTTGTTTGTCTCTTCAGGATACAGCTAATCGGAAGTTGGACCTGCTGAAGGCAGAATTCCTGGAAATTATTGCTTTAATTGAAGAGGAAGAAAAAGAAGCTGTGAAGAAAGTCCTAGCGGAGGAGAAAAGAGTCCAAGATAAATACGAATATGTCTATAAAGTGCTGGGTAAGAAGAAAACCGAAATCCAGGGAGCCAGAGACCAAATTGAAGTGACCTTGACAGAGGATGACGACATCACATTCTTAAAGGTAAACCTCTGTTTCCCTGAACCAGGGCCAGATTTAGGTTTGATGAGGCCACAAGCTACTGAAGGTAATGGGGCCCTTTATATGTCCAGCTGCCCTTTGTCAACAACAAATTGTCGCTGTTTTTTGTGTTGAATATATGCTATATGGTAATTTATGGACCTAATAGGTCAATACACAACACAAAACACTGTTGCTGTATATAGGTTTTATATTATTTGTTATTTATCTTATATTTTGGAAATGTATGTCGTTTCCCCCCCCCTTTAATTTTTTTGGGGGCCCCCGATAGAGTGGGGCCCTAAGCTATAGCTTGCTTAGCTCATGCATAAATCCGGCACTGCCCTGAACTCTGTTCGGTCCTGAACTGATTTCCTAGGGCAGCCTAGGCTTGTGTGCCACTATATTTTCATCTGCGCAAACACTGCATGACAGCAGTTTCCTACGACTGCTGCTCCAGAGGGCAGTATGTGATGATAACTTCCTTCCAGACAAAGGTAAAAAGGTAAAGGAGCCCTGGACGGTTAAGTCCAGTCAAAGGTGACTATGGGGTTGCGGCACTAATCTGCTTTCAGGCAGAGGGAGTCAGCGTTTGTCCACAGACAGCTTTCCGGATCATGTGGCCAGCATGACTAAACTGCTTCTGGTCCAACGGGACACGTGACGGAAGCCAGAGCGCACGGAAATGCCGTTTACCTTCCTGCCACAGTGGTACCTATTTATCTACTTGCACTGGTGTGCTTTTAGAACTGCTAGGTTGGCAGGAGCTGGGACAGAGCAATGGACCCTGTCATGGGGATTTGAACCACTGACCTTCTGATCTGTAACCCCAAGAGGCTCAGTGGTTTAGACCACAGCGCCACCCGTGTCCAGACAGGAAGGGATGTGACAGTGTGTAAGAGCAGAAATCCTCACGAGATCATCCACTTTTATTTCAGAAGGCAGCAAAACTCCGGCAGTTACCCATCAAAGATGTCTTCATACCTAAACTAGAACTGGATCAAAACTTGACACACACCGTTTATCAAAAAGCCTTTTGGCCTCAAAGAAAACGTGAAACAGTTCTTGGCTCAACCCCAGGAGAAGAAAAAAGAAGGTACAGTGGTACCTCGGGTTACATACGCTTCAGGTTACATACGCTTCAGGTTACAGACTCTGCTAACCCAGAAATAGTACCTCGGGTTAAGAACTTTGCTTCAGGATTAGAACAGAAACCGTGCTCTGGCAGCGTGGCGGCAGCAGGAGGCCCCATTAGCTAAAGTGGTGCTTCAGGTTAAGAACAGTTTTAGGTTAAGAATGGACCTCCGGAACGAATTAAGTACTTAACCTGAGGTACCACTGTACTTGGCCTGTTTTGTTTACTAGCATGTGTCTCTTGCTTATTGTATCTCAGTGCACACTGTATTAAAGTTTTAAAGACTAAATGGTTTTGGTATAAATTATGAGAATCACAGGTCCAGGGTCTCTCGAACTACTGCTTATAACGACAGAAAACCATGTTTTTCTTAATTACCCATTAATGTGAATATGGGTGAAGGTGGGAGCCCGATTGATTTGTAAATTCTGCATAGTAACTGACTTGGAGTGTGGAAACCTAGGTTAGAAACACAGATATATATAAGTTTGGTGCCAAAAAGCTCCTTAAACCACAGCTTCAGTCGCCAAAACAGAATGCCTAGTTGCCATTTTGTGGCAGCCGGCTCAAAAGTCGTATTTTTCAGTACAACATTTTGGTTCCTGAAATTCATTCTGATTGTGCAGATAAAATACAACAGATAGAATTCTACAGGATGTGTTGCTAGTGTGTGAAAACGGTCAAGATCCAAGGATCCCCAGGCATGCACCTGCAGGTGGGGGAGACGTCAGGCGCCATCCTGGCGCCCGGGCATCTTCCCTTGGTTGCATGTGGCTGATACCTAGGTACAAAATGCGTCTGGCGAATTTCGAATGCTATTTGACTCCCTTGGTCCAGTCTCCTGGCCTCACCCCTCTCTGTCTGTAAAATGGGTTTACAAATAGTGTTCCCATTGCAGTGGCGATTCTGGGTAGCTTATTCTAACCAACTGAGCTATCTGCCCACCGGGAATAATTATTTCGGCACATCGCCTAGGAACAAATTTGGAACTGTTTGCCAAAATAACTTTAGGCAACAGATCCAAACCATACCACCAGATGTGTACACCTGTGGCGCTGTTCCCAGGGGGAAACCAGGGCAAAGCACATCGTGTCCATACATGCACGCATATACTTTACTTTCAGGAGCCGCACAGTGGAAACCGAAGCCTTTTGTGCAGCCAGGGGGGGAAAATTGCTGCATCCAGTAAGTAAAAATGCATGTGACCCCCTGCTGCTTGCTAAATTCTTTTTGCAGTAGCAAAGACGCGTCTTAACTCCAGCCTTGGTTGCTAAGTGGGTGGAAGGTCCTACGACAGACTCATCGCTTCCAGTCATGCACATGCCCATTCCTCCTTTTGCCTGGCTGCCTTTTAAGATATGCAGCAAGATTCTTGCTTGCTGCAGAAGACCAGTATCACCACCCTTCTAACTGGTGTTTTCTTTTCAAAGGTGCACCAAAGAGAGACGACCCTCCATCAACATCTTCACAGGAGAAGAAGACAGAAGAGGATGCTGCTGCTGCTGCTGCTGCTGCTGCAGACACTAGTGAGTGTTGAGGACACAAATTATTACTGATAATTTCCAGAGTCTCTCGCTCTCTTTCTCTTTCTCTCTCTGCCTCTCTCTCTTTCTCCTCTTGTGTGAGCAAGCAGAGCTATTGAGATAAGAGGTTACAGGAAGCCAGGGGCTCCTCCCAAGTTTTCTTACATACGCAGCCTAAGTTGCTAATCTTTGAGAAGGTGGATATTTATTGTCTTTGGGCAGACAGCTATAATTGTTGGCCTTCCCAAAGATAAACGCTGTGGTGTAGCAGTTAGGACACTGGATTAAGGGAAAAGGTAAAGGGACCCCTGACCATTAGGTCCAGTTGTGGACGACTCTGGGGTTGGGGCGCTCATCTCGCTTTATTGGCCAAGGGAGCCGGCGTACAGCTTCCGGGTCATGTGGCCAGCATGACTAAGCCGCTTCTGGTGAACCAGAGCAGTGCACGGAAATACTGTTTACCTTCCCGCCGGAGCGGTACCTATTTATCTACTTGCACTTTGACGTGCTTTCAAAACTGCTAGGTTGGCAGGAGCAGGGACCGACAACAGGAGCTCACCCCGTTGCGGGGATTCGAACCGCCGACCTTCTGATCGGCAAGCCCTAGGCTCTGTGGTTTAACCCACAGCACCACCTGCGTCCCAGAGGACACTGGATTAGAAGGAGCCAAATTCAAACCCTCACTCTGATGTGAAATTCATAGAATAACATTGGGCCAGGCTAGACGTTCTTGGCCTAACCTACTTTGCAAGGTTGTTGGGAGGATTAAAATGGGAGAGATTTGTGTATGCCACCTTGAGCTCCTTGGGGGAAAGGTGGAACAATAAAAACGAATCATTTTGGAAAGGGCCTGCACACTTTAAAGCCTGTTTGTTGCAAGTCTAACTCTGGAAATGTCCCTAGATTTGAATACGCCACTCCCTCTCTGCCCAAGCAGTGCTTGAGACTCTCCATGTTATTTTTTAAAAAAATCTTATTTATTGATTTTTCACCCAAAAACTTTACAATTTTTAACATAAACCACATACTTCTTTGCCCATTGATTTCCCATCTTTCCTTTCCACAATTTTCATATTCTTTACCTTTAAATGGTGCACTTTTCACCTATAGAATTCAAGACATCCATTTTAACCCACTTACCTTAATAATTCATACAGTCGTACCTTCGAAGCCGAATGCCTTGGCTCCCGATCAGGTCGGCTCCCAAACGATCGAAACCCGGAAGTAAGTGTTCTTGTTTTCGAACGATTTTTGGAAGCTGAACATCCGGCGCAGCTTCTGTGGCTTCTGATCGGCTGCAGGACGCTCCTGCAGCCAATCGGAAGCCGCGCTTCGGTTTCCGAACGGCTCCAGAATGCATTCTGTTTGAAAACCACTGTGTTTCAAATCCTACTCGCATCTGTTTTTCTCGCTGTAAAGGGTAAAGGGACCCCTGACCATTAGGTCCAGTTGTGGCCAACTCTGGGGTTGCGGCGCTCATCTCGCTTTATTGGCCGAGGGAGCTGGCGTACAGCTTCCGGGTCATGTGGCCAGCATGACTAAGCCGCTTCTGGCGAACCAGAGCAGCGCGCGGAAACGCCGTTTACCTTCCCACCAGAGCGGTACCTATTTATCTACTTGCACTTTGACGTGCTTTCGAACTGCTAGGCTGGCAGGAGCAAGGACCGAGCAATGGGAGCGCACCCTGTTGCGGGGATTCGAACCGCCGACCTTCTGATTGGCAAGCCCTAGGCTCTGTGGTTTAACCCACAGCGCCACCCGCATCCCTTTTCTCGCTGTAGGGAACTCTTTAAATATGTCTCGAGTCCTCAAGGAATTTTTCATCAAGAGACCCTCTTATGTTACTGCTCCCTCTCTTCTCCCTAGCTTCCTCTAGGCGGCGCTGTTATAAATATAAGCTCCTTGGCGCAGGCAGCATCTCTTGTGCTGTTCTGCATACCTGATGGTAAAAGGGCGTTTCGGTTGCCAAAGTCCAACGGTGATTGTGGCCCCGTTGTTTCCTTGTGTGCAGCAGGCCTTATTTGCTAGGTGATGACCTTGGCTTTGCCCTTCGGTGCCTCCACCCATTATGTTTGTTCAGGCAAAAAGCATACCTGGTTACTGCAGTAAATAAGGCGTGAGGTTACTGAAGATTGATTTGCGGGCCCCTTTCCCCGCCCATTTTTCACGATGATACTGTTGAATTGCATGCAATTTCTTCCCCAACTCTGCTTGCTTTTAAGAAGGAAGATTCTTCCCAAAATGAGGTGCGCATCTGCTGATGAAGCTCTGCCGCTTCTTTTCTGATTAAAAAAAAAGGCTATAAAAACAACAGTTTATAAGTTATTAAAGCGGTACCTCAGGTTAAGTACTTAATTCGTTCCGGAGGTAACCTGAAGCGTATGTAACCTGAAGCGTATGTAACCCAGAAATAGTACCCGGGTTAAGAACTTTGCTTCAGGATAAGAACAGAAGTCGTGCTCTGGCAGCGCGGCGGCAGCAGGAGGCCCCATTAGCTAAAGTGGTGCTTCAGGTTAAGAACAGTTTCAGGTTAAGAACGGACCTCCGGAACGATTTAAGTACTTAACCCGAGGTACCACGGTATTATTATTATTCATTTATATGCCGCCATTTGACTGGGTTGTCCCAGCCACTCTGGGCAGCTCCCGACAGAATGTTAAAACACAATAAAACATCAGACGTTAAAAACTTCCATGTGCACGAGTCCTTTGCGAGCATCAGCAATGGGTGTCATGTTGCATCACTCCCTTTTCCTTTTTGTTGTGCTTCCCGTGTTGTTGGCGGAACACCTGCCCTGCCGACTGCCCAGTCCCCCCCTCCCAACCTATTATTAGCCAAATCACCAGAATCAAGTCACAAGTTCACTGGTATTTCTTTTGAAGAATACCACCCGCAAGGTAACACATGGTAGCTTATAACGAGTGTGAAGTTTGAAGAGGTTTTTCCTTTTTTTAATGTATAAAAATGGATAATCAAAGGCAGATAAATTTAGATAACCAGGAGAAACTGAAGAAGATGGCAGAATGGAACATGGTTCAATAAAAACATGGAGGGTGCAGCCAAAAGAACAAGAAGTTTACATTTTAGAGTTGAAAAGAAAACGGTTAGATTTGTTTGGGGCCTGCCTTACACCTGCTGCAGAATGAGATGTCGGAGGTAGACTGGACTTCAGCTGGATAAATCCAACTCTTGAATGAAAATAAGTTTCAGTGACTCTTTCAGATGGCAAACCTCTAGTCGCAAGGCTCAGGTGTTCCATTCTTAGCATATGCTGAAGTTGCTTGTTTAAAAAAATATATTGTTTCAGAAGCAGCGAGGCAGGAGCCCCCGCCCCCGGCGCCCGAGATTATTGGGGGGGCTGAGCCCCCCCAAAAAATTTTTTGAGGGTGCTCGAGCCCCCTCAAGCCCCATGGAGTCGGCGCCTATGGTTTCATTACGTTCCCCAGTAACCACAACTGTTTCATTTCCCCAGTAACCACAACTGTTTCGTTTCTCCTTTCTTTCAGAGCAGAGAAGGCGACCTGCTAAACGATGTAAGTTCACTCTTGCAAAAATTGCATTGCCTTGCTTAAAAGTTGAGGAATAGCCGACCTGTCTTTTGAGCCTGGTGTCACAAGAGTGCTCTTCACGCACTTACCCAGATGTGTGGGGCACCTTGACTCATGGCTCTATCCATAAAGTATCCCTGCCAACATCCTGTATATGTGGTTCTAAGCTAACAACGTCCTAAGCATATATCTCAGCTGGTAAAGCGGCGCATCTTCAGTATCTGACAAAAAGTTGTACAATGAAGATGACAGTTGCACTTCTGTGGGAAAGGAATTCTACAGTCCGGAGGGTTGTAAGCTAATTCTGCTTTCTAAACTCTCTGCAGTCGTACCTTGGATCCCGAACACCTTGGTACTAGAATGTTTTGCCCTCAAATGCCACAAACCCGGAAGTGACTGTTGCGGTTTTCGAACGTTCTTTTGGAACCCAAACGTCTGATGGGGCTTCCGAGGCTTCCGATTGGCTGCAGGAACTTCCTGCGGCCAATCAGAAGCTGCGCTTTGGTTTCCGAACGTTTTGGAAGTCAAACGGACTTCCGGAACGGATTCTGTTCGACTTCCAAGGTACGACTGTATTGGTTTTAAATTATATCATTGTTTTGCTGTAAGTTGTTTGTGGTTGGTTAGAAACCTGGCAAATGAATAAACGTTTCTCATGTTAACTCCTACTAAAGTTTCTGCGAACCAAATCACATTTCAGATGTGATCAAGCCACCAGAGGGAGTATTAGAGGCACGTAGCGGTCAGGTGAAGCAGACTTGAGAGGCTGCATAAATTGCTTGCTAGGAAAGCGTCCTGGCTATGCTACCATGGGCAGTGAACGAAAAAAGCTGCCTCCTTCGGAGCAAAGATCCATTTGCTTGCATTATGTACTGCCTTTCCAACCGAGAACATTTTCAAAGGTATCTCCTTTGTAAAACAGAATAAAGAGATGAAGATTCGGCTTTCTTCTTCTGAAAGTTAACTGTGTTGTCTTGCCTTGGACAAGAGGGTTCAGCCTGAGGAGTGTCTAAATGTTAGGAAACAGATCTACTGCAAAACTCGGGAGAGATCTTCCAGTAAATTCTGATCTTCTTTCTGCCCACCTTTCTCCTAGAAGACTCGGAGGTGTAGGGAAAATAAGGATGTTTTAAAAGAGCTCTGAAGTGTTACTGAACACAAGGACCAGGGAATGGAAGTGTTTTAAGTGATTGAAAAAGGACCTTGGGCTTTTCCTCACCTGGGTTACATGGTGTTCAGCGGCTCCTGGCTCTTGGGATAATAATAATAATAATAATAATAATAATAATAATAATAATAATAATAATAATAATAATAATAATAATTAATTTATACCCCGCCCATTTGGCTGGGGTTCCTCAGCCACTCGGTGGCTCCCAACAGAATATTAATAATAATAAAAAAGTGATAAAACATCAAATATTAAAAACTTCCCTAAGATTATCAAAGTTCCCTGCTTTCCAGTTCAACAGCTGTTCCTGGAATAGCGTGCAATCTTAAACCCAGTTGTATGACGAAAAGACCCTTCAGAATCAAGGCGACTTAACTTTTGAATGAATTTGGCTAGAATTTGGCTGTAAGATCCTGTTTGTGCAACCTGTGTGGTAGAGTTGAATAAAACCTTACAGAAATTAAGTTGCCCTGTTCTGGTGACGGTTGTTTAAAATGTGAGTATTGTAAAAAAAAAAATCATCACACGACTCCATTTCCCTCCCTTCCCCAGCACAAAGTCCCAACCAGAGAGCACGAAGTTCTAGCAGGCCTCAAGCAGGGATTCCGTCGACAACTCTGGAAAGCTTTTTAAGTAAATCCCGAGAAGAGCTTTTGGAATGTAAGTCACCTGATTCTGTGTATGCAAATTCAGTTCCCAGAATTCCATCACGCTCTCAACATTCTGTCACATTGTTTTGGACTGGAAAGGTCCAGTGTTGTTTTTTTAAGTATACACTAGTGGCCAAAATTGTGGAAACCTTTTGGGGAAAGTGTCTTTCCGAGGTTTGATGGCTCATAACACCTAATTGGCTCTCTAAACACTCATGCTTATTGGCTAAGGTAAAGGTACCCCTGCCCATACGGGCCAGTCTTGACAGACTCTAGGGTTGTGCGCCCATCTCACTTAAGAGGCTGGGGGCCAGCGCTGTTCGGAGACACTTCCGGGTCACGTGGCCAGCGTGACAAAGCTGCATCTGGCGAGCCAGCGCAGCACACGGAACGCCGTTTACCTTCCCACCAGTAAGCGGTTCCTATTTATCTACTTGCACCCAGGGGTGCTTTCGAACTGCTAGGTTGGCAGGCGCTGGGACCGAGCAACGGTAGCGCACCCCGCCGCGGGGATTCGAACCGCCGACCTTTTGATTGGCAAGCCCTAGGCGCTGAGGCTTTTACCCACAGCGCCACCTGCGTCCCTGTGCTCATTGGCTACATTCACCCTAAACAAGTTGTGCTTCCTTTTTCTGAATAAATAAATAATAATAATAAATTGTCCAGTAGCACCTTAGAGACCATCTAAGTTTGTTCTGGGTATAAGCTTTTGTGTGCATGCACACTTCTTCAGATACTCTAAAGTCACCAGACCCTTATATATAGTGGGAGGGTGGGGTGGGGTATTTCTCAGAAGGGTAGTAGGAGATGGGTGATTGGCTCAATGGGTATGGTAAATTCCTTTTTCTGGTTATTTGGCTATAATGTTTGACAGAATTCAGATAATTGAACAAACCTTGCTGCATTACATTCTTCATTAAATTACAGTGGTACCTCGGGTTACATACGCTTCAGGTTACAGATGCTTCAGGTTACAGACTCCGCTAACCCAGAAATAGTACCTCGGGTTAAGAACTTTGCTTCAGGATGAGAACAGAAATTGTGCTCCGGCAGCATGGCAGCAGCAGGAGGCCCCATTAGCTAAAGTTGTGCTTCAGGTTAAGAACAGTTTCAGGTTAAGAACGGACCTCCGGAACGAATTAAGTACTCAACCCGAGGTACCACTGTATATTTCCACTGATGTATAATTTTATGGTATTTCTCCAAAAATAGTGGTGTTATGAGCCATGAAACCTCAGAAATTTCCCAAAAGGTTTCCACAGTTTTGGCCACTAATGTATTAATGTATGGGTCCCGTCCCCGTTCTCACACACTTTGTTTCTTTTTCCTCACACTATCTTTGTATAAATGAAGTTCTCTTAATAGCAAAGACTATCGTGCTCTTCTTCCCCAACCTTCCTCAATTTCCCCTCTTGCTCTGTAAAATATCAGGTGGCCGTTCTTCTCACTTCTCCCCTGAACTTCCTTCTCCGCAGTTGCGACAAAATTCACTCTGGATTTCAACACCGCCCACAAGAAAGTGCTGCTCTCTGAGAGGAACACCAAGATATCCGTGTCGGAAACTCCTCAGAATTACCCCCACCACCCTCAGCGCTTCACCTACTGCTCCCAGGTGGTGGCCTTCCAGTGTTTCAAGCGGGGCATCCATTACTGGGAAGTGGAGCTGGAGCACAACACCTTCTGCGGGGTCGGCGTCTGCTATGGGAGCATGGCAAGGCAGGGGGCAGAGAGCCGCCTGGGGCGTAACGGCAGCTCCTGGTGCATCGAGTGGTTCAACTCCAGGATCTCGGCCTGGCACAACGACATCGAGAAGTGCCTGCCCAACACCAAGCTGAAGAAGATTGGCGTCTTGCTGAATTACGACGGCGGCTTCGTCATTTTCTTCGGCGTCGGCGAGAAACTCATCCTGCTCTACAAATTCCGGGCGCAGTTCACGGAAGCGCTCTATCCAGCGTTCTGGGTGTTCTCCAGTGGGACCACTATCTCGCTGTGCCAGCTGAAGTGAAGAACGGAACCGCCACCATTTGCTTTGCTCACATAGGGCCTGTCCATATGTTAACTCCTCTCTCTCTCTCTCTCTCTCTCTGTGTGTGTGTGTGTCTGTCTGTCTGTCTGTCTGACTGTCTCTCTCTCTCTCAGAATCCTTGGCTTCAAAGCAAAAGTTCGCCCTTTTTGAAACTTGACCTTGCTTTCTGGGAATCTGAGGGCTACTAAATCAAAGCCACAATCCACTAAGAATGTTGTCTTGAAGAAGCCTCTCTGAGAGTGTCCTTAGGAAACTTTCAGAGGTGTTTTCCTGTTGCGCTTTTGGTGGACTGTATTCCTCAGGCACACAGAACTCCTGGCACGCGTTACAGGCAAGTCTGGGGCATGTCTGAGCAGACACTTGCTTTGCATTGCTTCTGCCTCCATCCCTAACACGCTGTCAGGAGTTCCGAGCACAGGATATCTAAGGTGTATCCCCACTGCTGTGTCCCTGCCGGAAGAATTCAGTTCTTGCCATATGGGCACTGGCACATTCCCAATCTCACTGTCTCAGGCAGATCAGGCTTCAAACAGATTTCTCTTTGAAATAGTCTGTTGTGATGCTTAGGGCAGTAACTTGCATTGGGAGTTGTGTTTTGACAAACAAGAACAGCGCAGGACTGTGGAGGTGGTTGGGCATTCCTGTATCCGATATTGCTAATTCTGCTCTTGAAGAAGAGCAGGGGCAATCAGTTTGGTATCACTGCATGGAGGAGGGACGCAAAACAGTCTCTTCAGATTAACTACCCGTGATGTTACGAAAGGAACACCCCCTTCAATTGCTTGGAGCATCCATGAAGATGCAGATAAGCCCCTCTTAGCTCAATTCGTTTCTTTGGAGTCATGGGAACTTAAGGAGCTGGTGGAGGATTTGAGCCATATTCAGTATGCCAGGACAGGAAGGTTGGACAGGAAGTGCTTGTGTTTTGGTTGTACTTCCTGGTCAAAGGCCCTTGCTGAAGGGGAACGGCTTCCTTTAGAACAACAACAAGACATCACCAGCAGCAGTCCATGCTTCACACCCTCTGTCTCGTTGACCGCTTGGAATAAAGCACTTCACTTCTCATCCTGGTCCTTGAAAATCTTAGCTGCGGCATTTTTTTCTGATTTTTGAGGTATTGGGAAGAGGCTGTGGGTGAAATGTGAGATCTTTCAGGCTAGTCTGGTAGATGGAATCTTCTGCTCTTCACTGTTGGAGGAGATTTTGATCCCTCTTGTTGGACACATGCAGTTCTCCAAGGGCAGACATTGATGGTGTTTTGACTTAAAAGATCACTAGTGTGAAGAACTAGCATGCTCAACATGGATCATGTCTCTGAGTGATCCCTCCTAGCGGGCATTTGAGACTTATTGTGTGATCTGCCAGTCAGCAAACTGGGAAGGACCTGAAGAAGCTGGAAAGCTAAGATTTTCTAGTCAACATCCTTAGCATTCCTATGTCTTAGATTTCTTTATTTGATACCTGCTGCCGTGCCTTTCCGACAGTTACACATCATAAGCAATTGAAGAGAAGTTTGCAACACTCTTTATTAGAGAGGAGCAAGCTGGAGGCACTGCTAAGGTCTTAAGAAAATGTGTGTTTTGTACTGTGTGCTAGTAGGCAACACGTTTGGCCTTTCTAGGGCCACTTTGCAAAGATGCTTTTGACCAAATCTCTTGCCTTGAAGCTCTCCAGTTTAGAAGCCTCACATGCCAGGGGTCTTCTGGCAGAGGCGAAATGAAAACTGAGAAGCATCGATGCTAGGCATGAGCTGAGACCTCTGGAGAAAGCCTGAGATAAAAGCAAAGTGCCACAGCAAGTTGGCCCACATGTTTAAGAATCAAGCCATGGGTTTCTTCCCGTAGTCAAAGGATCGAGGGATAACACGCTGTTGGGAAATAATTCCTTTCCAAATATTCCAAGCAGTGACATCTCTGAATCCCTACTGCTAGCTGGGCTTTGGCACCAAACGACTCTAATTCAGAATAGTCCAGGAATCTGAGGCACAAGTTACTGAGACCTTCTGTGGAGCTTATGAAAATGTAGTAGATCGTTGGCCCTCTTCCAGAAAACCCCAAGGAAGTTCAAAAAAGCCAGGAAAGAGTGTTGAATGAGCTGAAAACAAAGTAGGGTGTGAGGCAGACAAGGGGAACACTACCGCGTTAAGCCGTAGTGTGACTTTGAAACAAAATACAGAATCAACTTGAGGTAATGGAAGAATTGCTAGGGTGGAAGAGTTGCTGGAATAGAGATCTGATTATTCTCCAGTCTAGCAAAACCTTGGTGTTCAGGAGCTCTGGGACCACATTTCCCCCTAATGACCCATGCCTGTGTATTGTAGGATCTGAGGACATCATCTCCCACCATAGAGAGAATTTTGGGTGTGTATCCTTTTTCTCATAAGGCCTACTAACTACTACTTTTTTTGTAGAAGTGCCCTTGAGGACTACTTTCTCAAATGAGTTGGGTATTTTACCTTAGGTATTCTTCCTACAAATGCTCGTGGGCTCTTGACACACTTTCCCATGTGTTTAAAGAACCCACAAGCTATAAAGCGCAGTAGAACCAGTTCCCCTTATCCAAACTTTGTGTGGTTTGGGATGTTTCCTACAGTGACTTGGTTGATGCCCAGCTGCCCTTCTGCTCTCATTACGATCTAGCTTCCTTGACCTTTGCTGAAGTCTTCTTGATTATGTTGCAATGGGTTTTGAGATGATGATCTTTGGGAATCTCACTACTTTTAGTCTTTTGCCTGGCACAAATATTGACCACTGGCTAAAAGTTGATCACTGTTTTTGATTGTTGAGATAAATATGAAAGGTAATCTGTTTCTTCTTAGGTTAAGGCTTCTTTCCTAGCCTAGAATACCATGGGGGCAGGGGTGTTATGACAAGACAGGCAGTAGAATAATACTAATGGATCCAGTCAAGGAAAATTTAAACGTATTACGTCCTATTGGTTTTGAATGGAAGGATGCAGAGCCTCATCTTTCAACTCTCCTTGATAATCAGTGATACAATGTGATTGTCTGCTGTTGTTTTCCCAGCCCAGATGAAACTCTTCACCGAAAAGCAATGTTCGCCTAGCAGTGTGGCTGTGTTTACATGGATACATGGTTGGCTCAATTATAATAATCTAGTATCTAAGCTACCAATTTCTGCCCAGCTTTTCTGTGTAGTAAATGAAATGAAAGCTTCTCTTGTCTGCAACACTGTTGGGAAATAACTTCAGCATGCTTGGAAACTTGTGTAGAAGCACAGAACATAAAAATCTAATCTAGCCAATGTTTCTTCTAGTTCAGATTGTGAACCATGTTGATCTGTGGGTTGGTTTTAGGAAGCAGAGGTTAAAAATAAGAGAGTGAATGTTTTTGGCATTCCTCCATTTTTTTGCCACTGGGCTGCCTTTGTGATTGGCCCATTGCAGTGTCAGACAAGACTCTGTCAAATGTAATGTTGCAATGTATACAAGACTGCACGGCCTTTGTCTTGCAGGGTGCCTTGATGTTCATTAAGCGAAAATTCAATAAAGTTTGATTTTATGATCGTTACCGCGGAGTGATGATTGTTGGAAAAGACAACCTGCTGCCTCTGCCGGGGAATGAACATGGGTTTAACGTTAATCCTGAAAACTTAATTCACTTGTTTTATTTAAAATGCATCTCTGGATTATTTGTGGGGCATAGGAATTCGTTCATTTTAAAATATATATATATATAGTCCGGCCCCCCACAAGGTCTGAGGGACAGTGGACTGGCCCCCTGCAGAAAAAGTTTGCTGACCTCTGACCTACACTGTGAACCAGGAAGTCTTTGGTCCAGATCTCACTAGGAGATGCACCTATCTCACCCATTGGGGGCATTCTTCACTTGTGTGCTTCTTCCTTTGGTGCTTGAGCTTACCCTCTCAATGTTGACAGTGCTCTAGTTATCTCCTGCTTGGACTACTGCAATGTGCTCCAGGTGGGGCTACCTTTGAAGGTGACCTGGAAACTACAATTAATCCAGAATGCGGCAGCTAGACTGGTGACTGGGAGTGGCCACTGCGACCATATACGGTAACACCAGTCCTGAAAGACCTACATTGGCTCCCAGTACATTTCTGAGCAGAATTCAAAGTGTTGGCGCTGACCTTTAAAGCCCTAAACGGCTTTGGCCCAGTATACCTGAAGGAGCATCTCCACCCCCACTGAGGTCCAGCACCGAGGGCCTTCTGGCGGTTCTCTCCCTGCGAGAAGTGAGGTTACAGGGAACCAGGCAGAGGACCTTCTTGGTAGTGGCACCCGCCCTGTGGAACGCCCTCCCATCAGATGTCAAGGAAATAAACCACTACCTGACTTTTAGAAGACATCTGAAGGCAGCCCTGTTTAGGGGAGTTTTTAATGTTTAATGTTTGATCGTGTTTTTAATATACTGTTAGGACCACCCAGAGTGGCCGGGTGGGTTATAAATAAATTATTATTATTATTATTATTATTATTATTAGGCATAGCCATAGATTTGCACTGATTTCAAAACTGACCACAGTTCCTCATTGAGAGGATCTGTTTGCTGATTCAGAAATACAGTGGTACCTCGAGTTACATATGCTTCAGGTTACATACGTTTCAGGTTACAGACTCTGCTAACCCAGAAATAGTACCTTGGGTTAAGAACTTTGCTTCAGGATGAGAATAGAAATTGCGCGGCGGCTGCAGGAGGCCCCATTAGCTAAAGTGGTGCTTCAGGTTAAGAACAGTTTCAGGTTAAGAACAGACCTCCAGAACAAATTAAATACGTAACCAGAGGTACCACTTTACCTGTTTTGGACCAGAGATGCAGCCACAAGTTGGAAGCAAGCAAGTTTTTCTGTGAAACTTTACTGAATTGTTCGAACCTTGCTTTGGGGCACTTACTATTTTTTCTTTCTGAGTTAAAAAATTGTTCCTCTACATTTTGAGCAGAATGTGCAACTTTTTAAGAAACCACATAGCTCCCCACCCCGACCCACTGCTTCCACCCCCCACCCCACCCCAGCCCTCCCCTCCCCTTCTCCTCCGTCTTCAATTGAGTGACTGCTACTTCTCAAATAATCAATATGTCAGTTAAAAACATGTCACGGTGTGGTCATTGTATGGTTCCCATTCAAAGTCCATGTCATTTAGACTTTCATTGGCAGCTATTTTGTCCCATTAAAAAGTTCAAGACAGCAATTTGTGAATCCTGCTCAGCCAAGTAGAACTGTGAAAAAAGGAGTTATTTTAAAAGTCAATTAATTGTGGTCTATTGGAGGCCTCCTCATTCAATTTTTTTTCAGGCCTTGTCACGGGCGAGCATCTGTCAGGTCTGTGTTTCCCAGGCTGCTATCAGATGCCGTTACATTGTAAATAATGGGTTCATTCAGGCTCTTTATTGGACTTTGTGTGGTAGACACATTTGTATATCATTTTACGGTGTAACAATTCCATTTACATAAAATATAGGCAATTATGTGAGCAAGTCCAAAAAGCTGTGGGAGGGAGGGAGGACCCCCCATTAAAATAATAATAAGCTAATTGAAAAGAAGGAGATAATTTAGGAGAGAATGCCAACACTTCGAATTCATGGTTCCATGATGATTCGGGAATAGAGTGTGTATGTTTAAAGATAATATCAGAACTACTCCAAATGATACCGTTTAATACTACATATGACGTGTATTCATTGTTGGATAAATAAAACTACTCTTTTTCCCCTTCAGTGATAATTTATTAAGTTTCAACACTTTTAACATACACAATCGAAACACAATTTCATTTTTGTCAACTTCCTACCCTGTTTTCCTTGTTTCTCTTCTTCTGCTGCATCCTATCTTCTGTCTATTAAATCACAACCATGATATTATAATCTAATTACTTCTGTTGCTCATAGCTCAAATGCAGCCTCTCTCCCCCCACCTTCTGTTGAAATAGGTAGTAAAACTCCCACTAGTTTTGCATATCACAGGACTCTACCCATAGTTTTATTTTTAGCACCGTAGTTTGGTTAAAACGACTGAGCTAGTGATTGTAGATGAAACTGATTTATATTTCTGCTGAGTTTCCGTTCTTCCCACCATAGATTGCTCAGTCAAATGAATAAAGCAAATATGTTTGTTTCCAAGACGCCAACAGTTGGTTTGGCTCCTTTGTATGGATCTTAAATTCTTAGATCACTTAATTCACGAGAGATACCTTGCATGTTTGTTTGCTATTTTTAATTCCATGTGTGTGCAGATACATAAGGGGAAACTATTAAGACCTCACCCCAGTTCAGGAAATTTTGAAGAAAGAAAAAAAGCTTTTTCTAAAGGAAGAAACACTTTTTGTTTCTAGTCAATTTTCTTGCACAAATGGTGTGCCTCTTTTTAAGGCAATGTTTGCTGTCCATGAGCAGTTGCATTAAATATTTTTTCTACACACACAAAAATCTGCCAGAATAACGAGCAGCATTTCTTTTAGTCTCTTAATTAATCAACAAATGTTAATATATACGTGGCAGCCCCAAAAACTATGCAGAAGAGCTCTGATAGTCCTGAAAGCTTGGCATTGTCTTTTACCAACAGATGTTGTCTTTGGGGTTTGTTGCACCCAACATGTTTGACAAAGGCTGCGGTCAGGTGGTTAATGTGAATCCTTAAGTTCACCAAGGAAAGTCAGTGACTATTGAGAACTACTTAACTAGATGAGATAGTGTGGCACATTCATGTGTTTTGAATTCAGATCTCAACCCATTGGAAGCGAGGTTGGTGGGTAGGCCTTCCTTACATGGCAAAAGGCAGTTTTGAGCAGAATATAAGTAAAAGCTATGGTTTTCCCAGTAGTGATGTATGGAAGTGAAAGCTGGACCATAAAGAAGGCTGATTGCCGAAGAATTGATACTTTTGAATTATGGTGCTGGAGGAGACTCTTGAGAGTCCTGTGGAATGCAAGAAGATCAAACCTCTCCATTCTTAAGGAAATCAGCCCTGAGTGCTCACTGGAAGGACAGATCGTGAAGCTGAGGCTCCAGTACTTTGGCCACCTCATGAGAAGAGAAGACTCCCTGGAAAAGACCCTGATGTTGGGACAACAAGGAGAAGGGGACGACAGAGGATGAGATGGTTGGATAGTGTTCTCGAAGCTACCAACATGAGTCTGACCAAACTGCGGGAGGCAGTGGAAGACAGAAGTGCCTGGCGTGCTCTGGTCCATGGGGTCACGGAGAGTCGGACACGACTAAACAACAAGAACAACAGGCAAATTTGAGGGGGGTGGGCATCGGCCGAACTCCCTTCCCAGGCCCTACCTCCATCCCTCCCAGTTGGAATTCAGGTTTCAAAGTCAGTACAGCCCACAGGCTTCTTGTATATTGCAATTACAGTCATACCTTGGGTTACAGCCACTTCAGGTTGCGTTTTTTTGGGTTGCGGACTGCCGAAAGTCAGACGTACTGGAACAGGTTACTTCTGGGTTTTGGCGGTCATACATGCGCAGAAGCGCTAAATCGTGCTTTATGCAGGAGCGCTGAATCGCAACCTGCACGTGCGCAGACACGGGTTGCGAACACTGTGGGTTGTGAACATGCATCCCGCACGGATCACGTTTGCAACCCGAGCATCCACTGTATTTATATCCCGTCTTCTAACATACAGATCTCTCCTGTACAAGCACCAATGAAAATAAATTGCAAGACCACAATGAAAACTAACTTCTGTTTTGGTGTCAAGATGCTCCACACAGGGCAGGTTGTGGAAGACGAGATGGTGGGAAGGAGGACAATCTGGGCTGGAGCTAAGCACTCAGGGTCACTGTTGTGTGTCTTTCTCTCTTGGTATGCTCCTCGTGGGTCCGTCAGTGGTAGATGGCGATGTGGATTTTACCACTGTGCGGTAAACATGGGTCTCCATCTCATGTCTACAGCGGGGATGGGCGGCCACTACTTTATTTTATGCAGATGAGATGTGACGCTCATCTAGCCTCCACACAAGGGGTGGGAAGAGAATAATAATAAAATAAAATAATGAAAAAAATAAAAAAAATAATTTTATTTATACCCCGCCCTCCCTGGCCAGAGCCGGTCTCAGGGCGGCTAACACCGGTAAAATCACAATAAAAACATAATAGGGGGGGGGGGAACCCAACAATTTAAAACACAGGTTAAAATACAGTTTGAAAAGCAGCCTCATTTTAATAATGACCCATAGATCAAAACCATAAGGGGAGGGAAACATAAGGGTCAGACTGAGTCCAAACCAAAGGCCAGGCGGAACATCTCTGTCTTGCAGGCCCTGCGGAAAGATGTCAAGTCCCGCAGGGCCCTAGTCTCTTGTGACAGAGCATTCCACCAAGTCGGGGCCAGTACTGAAAAGGCCCTGGCCCTAGTTGAGACCAATCTAACCACCTGGCGACTTGGGACCTTCAAAGTGTTGTCATTTGTGGACCCTAAGGTCCTCCGCGGGGCAGACCAGGAGAGGCAGTCCTATAGGTACATAGACTCTTGTATGAAGCATTTTGGGATGACATGGTGAAAAAAAGGTAAAGGACCCCCAGATGGTTAAGTCCAAAGGCGACTATGGGGTTGTGGCGCTCAGCTCGCTTTTCAGGCCCAGGGAGCTGGCATTTGCCCACAGACAGCTTTCTGGGTCATGTGTCCAGCATCACTAAACTGCTTCTAGCTCAACGGAACACCAAAACCAGAGCAGCGCACAGAAACACTGTTTACCTTCCCGCCAGAGCAGTCCCTATTTATCTACTTGCACTGGTGTGCTTTCGAAATGCTAGATTGGCAGGAGCTGGGACAGAGCGACAGAAACTCACCCCGTTGCGGGGATTCGAACTGCTGACCTTCTGATCGACAAGCCCAAGAGGCTCAGTGATTTAGATCACAGTGTCACCTGCATCCCTTTGGGATGCTATGAATAGCCACTGATGTTGCATGAAGCCATTTTCTTGAGTCTTTACTTTGATATTCGAGGTGCATTGTGTATTTTCTGGTTCTTTTATTTATCTATAGCTCAATTCTATGCCAGTGTACAGCGTTTAGCTATAAGCAGCACTCGGGATGTTATTTTTAGCTTTTCAAGGTAAAAAAACAACACAGTTGGCCCATGCTGAAAATGGATCAAGCACCCCACTAGCCTTTTAAAAAAACACACACCAAAAACCACCAATTTGGGCAAAACGTCATTGGTTGGATCTAGCACTTGTAAGTCCCACATCTTGCATGTTTGATCAGGGTTAGGAAACCTGTGACTTGCCAGATGTTAGGTCAGGAATGATGTAAGTTATAGTCTAATAATATTGGGGGGCTACATTCCTCATCTCAGTGCAAGGTTGTGTTTCCACAAACCCCATTTGCTTAATGTACAGCAGCATTAAGCTGATGTTATATCCTTTTGAATTTAGCAGCCACGTTGCTCACCGGAGTAAGACGGTTTGAGCATATTACACCGATCCTGGTCTGACTGCCGTGGCTACCAATTAGTTTCTGGGCCCAATTCAAAGTGCTGGTTTTGACCTATAAAGCCTTAAGTGGCTCAGGACCGCAATACCTCAAGGACCACCTCTTTCCATATGAACCTACCCGGACCCTAAGATCATATTCTGAGGCCCTCCTTTGTGTGCTGCCTCCTCAAGATGTTTGGAGGGTGGCAACACAAGAACGGGGCCTTCTCTGCAGTGGCTCCCCATCTGTGGAATGCTCTCCCCAGGGAAGTTCGCCTGGCGCCTTCATTGTACACCATTAGGTGCCAAGCAAAAACGTTCCTTTTTAACCAGGCCTTTGGTTGACCTGATTGACTGACATCCTATACCCTTTTAAAATGTGGCTCTCTTTTTGGGGTTTTTTTAAATTGGATTGCTCTTTTTATTCTGATTACATATGTTGTGATCTTTTCTGTGAACTGCCCTGAGACCTCCGGGGATTGGGTAGCACTCAATAAATAATAATAATAACAACAACAACTTTTAGCTAGCAGGAGTATGCATAATGCATATGTGTAAAAGCCAATTGTGTAATGGCCAATTATAACCTGGCAGTGGCGTAGCGTGGGGGGTGCAGGGGGGGCCCGGCCGCACCGGGCGCAACATCGGGGGAGGGGGGGCGCTCGCACTCGCAGCTCTCTGCCCCTACCTGGCTCGCTCACTCTAGGGGGCGCAAATTACTTGCCTTGCCCCGGGTGCTGACAACCCACACTACGCCACTGTAACCTGGAGTTCATACCTCGGAATATATTTTGCCACTATCGCAATAGCATAGAAAGCCAGTGTGGTCTAGGGTCATTCCCTGCCCATCCGACTGGGTTTCTCCAGCCCCTCTGGGCAGCTGCCAACAGATTAAAAACAGAATAAAACATCACACATTAAACACTTCCCTAAAATTTGTGACTTTGGGCCAGCTACTGCATCTTAGTGCAACTTACCTCACAGGGTTGATGTGGGCATTAAATGAGGAGGGGGAGGACCAAACACAGCACCTTGAGCTTGGGGAAATGGCGGGCTACAAACAGGGGTGCCAACCTGAATAAAACATTGGGGGCCCAGTAAGCCCCACCTGCATAACATTGATCACATGATGTGGCACACACACATCGTTTGAATGGCAGTGCCCATCAACTTTGGGGGTGGGGGTGGCCTGGCCCCTTCAAATATTTCATGTGGGGGGGAGAGACACAAAGAGACCTTGATCCCTAGGAGTTGGCTCTGGTGGGTATAGATGAAATAAGGAAATAAATATGAAGGAGATGAAAATCAACTTGCATGAATGGACTGGACAGGTCTACTTTTAAACAGCGACACTGGGTTCAGCGAAATTAAGAAATGACCGCATCTCTTCAGAAGGAAAATGTCGAACGGTGTTTTACAAGATGCTGACGGCTATACTTTTTATTTTTTCTAACAAAAGGGTAGCTTTAAATGGAAGGGTCTCGTTTCAGCGCAGCTTAAGTGAGACTCCTTTCATAGGAGCAGAGCAGAATAAGCTGCACGGACTTCTATTCACACAGCCTGCCGTTTATAGGGGTGGTCCCAGTCACTCAAAAGCTCATTAAAGAGTTTTCTCTCGCTTCGACTTCATGATAGCATGTCAAGGAGTGTGAGTGGGGGGAGAGAGTGCCTTTGCAGCCTGCAACCACCGCCAAAAAGAGCAGGCCTGTGCAGGCAGCAGATGCAAGCGACTCCTGCACCTTTGATAACCTGTAAACCTGTTAGAATTCCTGCTCCATGATTGCAGTCATGGGATTTTTATCTTTCACATGACGTTATATGTTTTGACTCCACAGAGTGGGAAGTGATGGAGACAGGATGTTTGTGTTACTGTGTTTTGTGAAGTGGGACTATTGTCCTTTGTTCTTTTTCTCTTTGCTGTCTGATGCTAGAGAGAGAGGGAGCCATGTTGCAGTGCTCCGTGTGTGTTTATATGTAAATAAAGTAGATTAGCCAAAATGCAGAGTTGCTGAGATCTGTTACACAAGCTGTGAAGACTCTGCAGATCCCTAATGTGCCGGTGTCGGTTGGCATCGGTCGCTGTGATGTTCGGGTAGAAGAAAGCTTTTGAAGCTCCCAAACGTAAGACCAGGAGGGAGAGAACATGCCAGTCAGGCATGTGTCTCTGCCAGGGTCCTACTCGAGTGTAGGCTGAGCTCCTAACAACCCACCTTGATCTCCCCAGCAAGCCAGGCAAGGGGCATTGCTATGGGTCACAGAACCATTCCAGTCTGGCCAAAAACCTCTGAAGAGAATGCCTGATGGGGTGTAGACAATCCCAAGGCCATTCTGGAGTATGGACTCCATCCCTGAGGTTCCTTGCACCACACTGGACACAGGTGTGGCAGTGGAACATGGAACTTTTCTCAGATAGTACCAACATCTCCTTGTCTCAGTCCCCGTGGCGGTGTGCCAAGTCGGCTACTCTGTTGGGCTAAACAAAGCCTCTGTAGCTGGTTAGTGGATGTGACGTTTGCCCTCCTAGGTGTGTGACATCATACTGGGTTCATAAGGAAAGGGTTAACTAATTGTAACCAATGGGATTGTAACCAATTCAATGCTTTTGAATTATGGTGCTGGAGGAGACTCTTGAGAGTCCCATGGACTGCAAGAAGATCAAACCCCTCCATTCCTAAGGAAATCAGCCCTGAGTGCTCACTGGAAGGACAGATCTTGAAGCTGAGGCTCCAATACTTTGGCCACCTCATGAGAAGAGAAGACTCCCTGGAAAAGACCCTGATGTTGGGAAAGAGAAGGGGCCAAGGAGAAGGGGACGACAGAGGACGAGATGGTTGGACAGTGTTCTCGAAGCTACCAGCATGAGTCTGACCAAACTGCGGGAAGCAGTGGAAGACAGAAGTGCCTGGCGCACTGTGGTCCATGGGGTCACAAAGAGTCGGACACAACTAAACGACTAAACAACAACAACAAACCAATGGGAACCCAAGGGGCAGAGTTAACTGTGTATAAGGTTTAAGCACAGAGGGTTTTTGGGGGGAGTTAGAGTTAGGGTGGTTGAGAAGACAGTCTGGAGTTAGAAGAGAGAGAGAAGATAAGTCTGTGGGTTGGGCTAGTCTGGTGTGAGAGAGTGAGAGAATTTGTTAAGAGGAGTCAGTCAAACAGTTGAGATAATCAGTCAGAAGGTATTAGGAAGGTATAGGCCGGTAAAGGAACTAAAGTTAAGATACTGACAGGAATATTATCTGAGAAACCATAAACTTGTTAATGTTTGTAAAATAGACTTTTTTTTTTGTTCACTTTTAACAACTGACTGGACTCAGTGTTTTACCAGAGAGTAACTGGTTGGTAACTGGATGCAGCTTTGTCACGCTGGCCACGTGACCCGGAAGTGTCTCCGGACAGCGCTGGCCCCATGCCTCTTAAGTGAGATGGGCGCACAACCCCAGAGTCTGTCAAGACTGGCCCGTACGGGCAGGGGTACCTTTACCTTTACCTTTAACTGGTTGGTGGCAGCAGGGAAGTGAGCACAGTGGTGGCATAGGGATCAATAGACCGTTAAACGTCCGGGGACCCTGCGTGATCGCCACACTGGAGTTCAAAACACATCTGATATTGGAGACAATACAATTCCGACTCATCCTTCCTCTGTTCTTTTTTTTATTAGCAAAGTGCTTTACATTCTTTATTGTTTGCCCTCACAACAACCCTGTGTGGTAGGCCACTACAACTTCCCCCTTTTCCCAATCAGGAACTGGGTTGACTTAACTTGCCCACGACTGCACAACGAGTCCATTGCCGAGAAGAGACTTGTTAGCTAACCTGTCGCTATTCTCCGGCTCCCTTTCCCTTAAAGAAAACGCACACTTCTCTTTTGACGTTCCACCTCTGCCAAACAACACGAGTGCCATCGTTCTCCCTTATATGGAAAGCTGTCCTGAAACTGGTCCTTTGGATCATCACGACAGGCATGGCGACTCCTTAGTCAAATGGAAACTCGCAGGGATTTGCCCCCCTCTCAATAGCTTTTCGATAGACGGCACCAAAGTCTTTAAATCGCGGGGCACAGCCCAGCCAAGCTTCCCCAAAGTGCTCATTGCCCGTGAAGAGGAAATCGCCGGTTCCTTTCTTCACCTTACACTGCAGCAAGGTCTTGACGGGTCCTCGCCATTCGCCGCTCACTTTATCTTGCTGAAAGATCTGGTTTTTCTGCCTGTAGACCCGCCGGGCGCCGACTTCCACCTGGGACATGTGGTTCTCCGCATCGTGGGTGACGTTGTGGATCGATCCTCTCACCACTAGGTGTAAATTTTGCGTGTTTATTTATAAGGGAACTATGAATCGCCCTTCCTCCAAATGGGCACAGGGCAATCCGCAACAAACATAATTTTGAAAACAGGTGAGAGCATTTTAAAACAACAAATCGTCGAAACACTGACTCATATAATGCTGCTAAGGATTAAATATTGCATTATCAAGCCTGGGCAAAGAAAACTGTTTCTTAGTTGACACCTGAAAACCAACAATGTGAAGACAGGTGTAACTCTAGGGGTGAAGATTCCATCTGAGCCTGTGGGTCAAACTTGGCCCACCAGTGAATCCAATTTGGCCCACGATTCCATTTCCCCCAAGCCATGCCCATCAGCTGAAATCACTTAATCATCCAGGAGTCCTTTACCTTTTTTTACCTTTTACTTTATACAGTAATAGCTTGGCTTCCCCCAAATAACTATGGGGTGTGTAGTTTGTCAAGGTTACTGAGAATTGTCAGTGGACCCCCTTTCCCCTCACAGAGTTACCATCCTTAGGGTGGTTTAACAGTCAATCCCTTTTCCCAGAAAACTCTGGGAATTGTAGCTCTGTGAGGGCAATAGGGGTCTCCTGATGCTTTTCAGCATCCTTGGTAAGCTACACTTCCCATGATTCTTTGGGGGAAACGGTGACGTTTTTGAAGTGGTATCACGGTGCTTCAAATGTCATGTGCGGATGTGCCCAACGTCTTCTACTCTGCTCAAGCCAGTAGATCATTTCCCCCCTTCTCTCGCTCGGCTAAAGCAATGAGCCCCACTGTTTTTCAGTTGATTAAGTTACCGGCAGGGCTGGGTTTAGGTCTGATGAGGCCCTATGCTACTGAAGGTAATGGGGCCCTTCATATGTCCAGCTGTCCTTTGTCAACAACAAATTGTCGCTGTTTTTTGTGTTGAATATACGCTATATTTATGGACCTCATAGGTATCTAAAGCCATTTGCACATGTTGCCATGCAACAGGTACCCTATATATGGGTACCCTATATATAGAAAAGAGCAAACCAGTGATTTTTTAGGGAGCAGGCTAGCAGGCGGGGCCCATTACTTACACCATAGGAGCCTACACAACACAAAGCACTGTTCCTGTATGTAGGTTTTATTTTATTTGTTTTTTATCTTATATTTTGAAAATGTACATCCAGTCCCCCCCCCCTTTAATTTTTTTTGGATCCCCAAGAGAGTGTGACCCTAAGCTATAGCTTGTTTAGCTTTTGCGTAAATCCAGCACTGGTTACCGGGGTCTCAAGTGAGGAAGTTCCTCCTTGCTGGGCCTGCAAAACACGCACAAACGACTGACAGATGTTGTGCTGAAGGCCACATGGTGGGGGGCATTTAGACTTAAAGTATCCACAGAGCAGACGAAATAGCCCTTAGAACTGACTCTATTTATGGCTTCACTTCCATGCCCTGAGTTTAGCAGTTGCCACCACCAGGTTTGTGTGTGTGTGTGTGGATTAGATCAAATAACTGGTCGTGGAAGTGCAATTGACCCCCAAAGCACACTTAGCTTTATGGTTCATAAGAGCGGAGGCCCTCAGACCTCAGGAGCAACTTGGAGCAGGAGGAACAAGAGCATTATAGTTTTCAATAGACTTGACTGAATCTGAGTGCCGGGGGGGGGGGGGAGAAGGGGAACAGAACAGGGGGACATCTGTTATGCTAAAAGGCTAGTAGCTCCAGGAAATTGGATTAACTAAGGAAGTTCCCGAAATCTTCCTAAGTAAGTTCTTTGTGCCCATGACATGAGTGAGATAATTATCCTCAAAGGGGGAAGATTTCAAGCGCTGCCTTCTTTTGCAGACAAATTCCATAATTGATTAGTTGCTTTGGTGTGCCTTATTTTCAATCACATGTAGAAATTGTTGTCTGAGAGCTATAGGTGTGGAAATGGTCTTGTGACCAAATTAGGGACGATTTATTCACCCACAGGCCTTTAAAAATATAGATATTTAAGGAGGAGGGGTGTTTTGTCAGGCAGAATTCAGGGTGCATTCAAGGCAGTGGCCGTCTAAATGCTATCCTGAGGACCCAGATTTCAATGTAGATCACCACCACGAATACAGTGGAGCCAGATGTATGTGACGGATCATTCTGAAGTTCACAATCGGTCTGGGATGGCGACAAAAATAAAAGTCGCCATGGCTCGAAAAGATGCCCACCCCCCAGCCCTCCCCTAATAGTGATGTGAATTGGCTTTGAGGAGACCTTTACACAATGAGCCACTTCATACGACTTGCAGTGCAATATAAGTTCAGAGGATCTTACTCCCAGGAAAGTGGTTACAGAAGACAGAATGGCCACCACTAGGTATGATTGGAGTTGGCATGGAAGTTCTATCTGTGCTGACCCATTTGTTCATGAAAATCAATGCTTGACGTTTCAGTGATGTGAACCTTAAAGACCATTAGCAGCGTGGAACCATCGTAGGGCTCAACTCAGTGGTTCATACCAGATCCTGCCAGAACCAATTAGTCCTGCAGGAGACAAATTTTCGACAGTCAAACCTCGGTTGTCGAACGTACAGTAATCCATTCTGGAAGACCGTTCGACTTCTGAAACGTTTGACAACCGAGGCGTGGCTTCCGGTTGGTTGAGCTCAAACAGAAGCAGTGTCAGACATTCGCGTTCCAAGAAAAACCAGAGCATTTACTTCCAGGTTTTTGGCTTCCAGGAACCGAAATATTCAAAAATGGAACCGTTCGAGAACAGAGAGAGAGAGAGAGAGAGACTAGGGGAGTGTGACTCTGTTGATCTTCCTCGATTTCTCAACACTTTCAATATTTCAATACCATAGACCATGATATCCTTCTGGAGCAACTTTGTGTTTGGGATTGAGGAGACTGCATTGCAGTCATTCCATTCCCTTCCTACTTGTGGACGACCACACACTCCAAAACTCTCTATGATCCTGCTCAGCAGTTTCATACAGATGTTAAAGAACATGGACCAACCCTCATGGGACCCCATACTAGAGAACCCATGGAGCTAAGCAGTGTTCCCCCAAGAAGTCATTATTGCATTGTTGCAATAATGGACTGGATGAGGGCCAGGAAAACAAAGTTCAGTTCAGACAAGACTGAGATGCTGTTGCTAGGCAGTTCCTCACCAGTTAGGATACTCAGTGCTCAGAGGCACTAGGCTATGCTCGAACTTAACAGCTGATCAGCAATTTTACTTCTGACTCTAAATTTACTTCTGACTCTAAATACGCACAGGACTGCACCATTTGCACCTCTCCAAAAAACGATGTTCTCCTGCCAAGCTCACTTACCAAAATCACTGCTGCAAATAGCCATGAGAAGTTCCATGTTGTCACAGGGGCGGCACATAGCTGGGGAAGGAAAACACAAAGTCGATAAGGAGGATTGCTAGAGGGCTCTTGAACGAGTCCCAAACGGTAAGCCTGCTGCAACGACCTCATTGGCATCTGGATCAAGTTTTGCCTTCATTCTGAGCATCTGAGAGCATTTGTATGATTTTCTGTAACATGGGGTGGGGGAGTGGAATCTGGGGTCCTGCAGACATTGATGGACCAGAGATCCTTTCACCCCGGCTCTTGGTCCTGCTGCCTGCAGGCCAACAACATCTGAAGAGTCACAGGTTCCTCACCTCTGACCTTGAGGGGTCTTGTGATAATCCGCTCAGGAGCATCTGTTTCCAAAGCAGTACATAATTTCTGTCGATTGCTCAGGCCTGTAGAGGTCAGCTTCTTACCCTCCAATATTTCTCCAGTGAAAATAGGGACATTTGACAAATAAATGAGCTGCGAGGTCTTTTTAAGACAAGCACTCTCTGGAATTAGATATCTTGGATGGTTCACTAGGAATGTGTGCTCATAGCATTCAACATGTTTCTTCTTATATTATTTTAATTCTTTTATAGTTTAACTGGTGGGGATGCAAGAGGGGGCCTTCTTGGTGGATTGTAATTATTTGTATGTTTTAAACAGATTATATATATGTACAGTTGTACCTTGGAAGTCAAATGGAACCCTTTCCAGAAGGCTGTTTGGCTTCCAAAATGTTTGAAAGCTGCAGAAGCCCCATCAGGCGTACGACTTCCAAAAATAGTTCGCAAACGGAAACAGTCACTTCAGAACAGTCCATTCGGGAGCCAAAACGTTCGAGAACTAAGTTGTTCAAAAACCAAGGTACAGAGCTTTAATACTACCAATGTTTAACTATTTTTAAATGTTTGTTTTCCCTATATTTCCCTGTTTTTATCTGTAAGCTGCCTTTAGGGGAAACGGCAAGGTATAAATATATACTAATTAATACATAATAATAATAATAGCAGAAAAATGGGTAAAAGTTTTATTTTGCTCTTCAGGGCTTCTGGAACGTGTCCAGAGGAGGGCAACCAAAATGGTCAAAGGCCTGGAAACGATGCCTTATGAGGAACGGCTAAGGGAGCTGGGCATGTTTAGCCTGGAGAAGAGGAGGTTAAGGGGTGATATGATAGCCATGTTCAAATATATAAAAGGATGTCATATAGAGGAGGGAGAAAGGTTGTTTTCTGCTGCTCCAGAGAAGCGGACACGGAGCAATGGATCCAAACTACAAGAAAGAAGATTCCACCTAAACATTAGGAAGAACTTCCTGACAGTAAGAGCTGTTCGACAGTGGAATTTGCTGCCAAGGAGTGTGGTGGAGTCTCCTTCTTTGGAGGTCTTTAAGCAGAGGCTTGACAACCATATGTCAGGAGTGCTCTGATGGTGTTTCCTGCTTGGCAGGGGGTTGGACTCGATGGCCCTTGTGGTCTATTCCAACTCTATGATTCTATGATTCTATGGTATAGCTGATTGATTGGCTGGCTTTGCTTTCATTTTATCTTTTGACCTGGTTGCAGCTGCTGATGTGAATAACTTGGTTTTTCTTATATATATATGTTTGATATTTTATTGATCTAATTGTTTTATGAGCAGCTTTTGGGGTGGGATGGGGTTATTTCATGTGAACTTGAAGATCCCCGTCCCCACATGAGGTTCGAACACCAAACTGGGGGAAATGAGACCCACACGTAATCGTTTACCTTCCACGAGCGCCATTTTCTGGAAGTCTGGGCCAGTGACAGTCTTGTTGCTCAGCAACTCGTACTGGAAGCTGGCGGTCCTGCGGCTGATGTCCCTCTGAGGACTGGCCTGCAGGAAAAGCGCCACCCTCTGGGGCGTGCGGGTGCTGAAGCAGGAGACTTGGTGCAGGCGGGGCTCCTCAGCGTCACTCAGCAGCAGGTGGAGCTGCCCGTCCCTCTCCACGTAGATGTTGGCACCTTGGAAAGTGTTGGACGGCTTGATGCAGACGGCGGTGTGCTGAGCGCTGGACAGGTTGGGCTCCAAGATGACGCGGAGGGCTCGTGTCGGGTACATCCATTCCAGGAAGCCCTCGGTACAGCGCAGGTGGACCTGCTCCACCGCACGGGAGCGGGGCTCCCAGCTCAAGCCGCTAGAAAACAGAGGGATGGACAACTGTGACAACCAAATCTCTCTATCTGGCCCTTGGGACTCTATCCAGGCCACACCTCCTTCCATAACCAAACCCCTTGCCATAGGACACACCCCTTACCAGCTCTGCTTTGCCTCCTCCATGAGTGTTTTTGTCCGGATGGAATTATTATTATTACTATTATTAAAAGGTAAAGGTAAAGGGACCCCTGACCATTAGGTCCAGTCGTGGCCGACTCTGGGGTTGCGGCGCTCATCTCGCTTTATTGGCCGAGGGAGCCGGCGTACAGCTTCCGGGTCATGTGGCCAGCATGACCAAGCTGCTTCTGGCGAACCAGGGGAGTACAAGGAAACGCCGTTTACCTTCCCTTCGGAGTGGTACCTATTTATCTCCTTGCACTTTGACGTGCTTTCGAACTGCTAGGTTGGCAGGAGCAGGGACCGAGCAATGGGAGCTCACGCCGTCGCGGGGATTCGAACTGCCGACCTTCCGATCGGCAAGTCCTAGGCTCTGTGGTTTAACCCACAGCGCCACCCGCGTCCCATATTACTATTGTTGTTGTTGTTATTTGGTATACAAATAAAATTATTATTATTAGTAGTAGTAGTAGTAGTAGTAGTAGTATACCACCCCTATACCTGCAGGTCTCAGTGCGGTTCACAATATAACACCACAATATAAAAACACAAAATAAAACCCAAAACTAGCCAATAAACCATCCCTCTCAAGATTGGGGCATCGGGCCGGATCTCTCAAGTGTGGCACTGAATGAATTTCCTCAACACTGGCAGAGGAAACCACCCATTGAGGAGCAGAGAGCCTTCATCAAAGCTAACCACACTGTTGAGATGGGCATGGTACTTTGCTCTGACTGATAAACTTACACAACGCTTTAGAATGATGCGTGGAGCAACAACAACAACAAAAGGATCCCTTTGATGCTGATTTTGCTTCAGATTTATTTCTGTTATCAACTGTTACCTAAAGGTAAAGGTAAAGGACCCCTGGATGATTAAGTCCAGTCAAGGGCGACTATGGGGTTGCGGCGCTCATCTTGCTTTCAGGCCAAGGGAGCCAGCGTTTGGCCACAGACAGCTTTCCGGGTCATGTGGCCAGCATGACTAAATTGCTTCTGGCGCAACAGGACACCGTGATGGAAACCAGAGCGCACGGAAATGCCGTTTACCTTCCCACCACAGCGGTACCTATTTATCTACTTGCACTGGTGTGCTTTCAAACTGCTAGGTTGGCAGGAGCTGGGACAGAGCAATGGGAGCTCACTCCATTGCAGGGATTCGTACCGCCGACTTTCTGATCAGCAAGCCCGAGAGGCTCAGTGGTTTAGACCAGTGTTTCCCAACCTTGGGCCTCCAGCTGTTTTTGGACTACAACTCCCATCATCCCTAGCTAGCAAGACCAGTGATCAGGGATGATGGGAATTGTAGTTCAAAAACAGCTGGAGGCCCAAGGTTGGGAAACAATGGTTTAGACCACAGCGCCACCCGCATCCAACTATTACCTAAAGGAACCTCATCCCCCCTCCCTGTAACTCATACATATTTTTGGCTTGGTTATTAACTTAACTCTGGGTAGCTCTGTTGGTTAGAGCATGGTGCTGATAACACCAAGGTCGCAGGTTCAATTCCCATGTGGGATAGCTGCATATTCCTGCATTTCAGTGGGTTGGAAGAGATTGTTATCAGGATCCCTTCCAAGCCTACCATTCTAAGGTTCTGATTGTATCCTGCTACTATTTTCTGCCTTATACACAGAACCTGCGTTTTGCTTTCCACCTGGTTACCAATACACATTATTTTGTTGTTTTTATGTGTTGTTTCATGTTATTCTTAATATATAAAAAAAAACCACACACAAAAATTCATACATATAAAACTAACCATTTTGGCCTTCTGACTGGCGTGTATGTTTCCTCACATATGAATTTATCTCTGGACTGGAGTCACATTCACCAATAGCAATTTTGGGGCAGATATTTAGGATGTCAGTCTTTGAGCCAGAGCAGGCCAGAGGCTAAAGGGGAAATCTTCTACTCAGTCAAATATCAAATCTAACAATGTGATTTACAGATGCCAGTTCAGCTTCCAGCACCTATATGCTTCAGATTACAGAGCAGAACATGGCTGCTGTTAGGTAGCGAATTAATGCATTCTGTACATTGTCGAGACAAACAAGTTTTAGCTTTTTTAAAAATAAGTAAAAATGTAATTATACAGGGATCATTTCGGAACAAGCAGTCCATATTTAAGAACTGCAGAAAGTTAGAGCTTGATGGGGTGGTGTTGGGGAGCCTTGTGTAGTGTGATTCTATACATACAGACTCAGAAATAAGCCCCATTGCATTCAGGAGAACAATATTTTATGCATTTGGAGGAGTGTACATTGCCCCAGTCTTAAAATCCCTTTGAGTTCAGTGGGAGAGCGAAGTTGAAATTGCTTCCCTTGAACTCAATGGGACCTAAACCTATCAGACTGTTTCAGTGGCGTAGCGTGGGTTGTCAGCACCTGGGGCAAGGCAAGTAATTTGCACCCCCTAACCCGTGGATTTGCACCCCCTAACCCGTGGATTTGCGCCCTCTAACCCTAACCCCCAGATGTTGCGCCCGGTGCGGCCGGCCCCCCCTGCACCCCCCACGCTACGCCACTGGACTGTTTGCCAGGACAATGTGCTTAAATCTGCCAGGTATTTAAAATTACGCTATTATGTTGTGCGAATTATGCTGTTAATGTTGTGCACTCCCCTGGAATCTTTGGATATAGAAAATGAATTAATAATAATAATAATAATAATAATAATATCCATTTTCTCGGGCGGATGTTGTGCACTGCCCTGGGATCTTCGGATATAGAAATTGAGTTAATAATAATAATAATAATAATAATAATAATAATAATAATAATATCCATTTCCTCGGGCAGACGTTTTGCACTGCCCTGGGATCTTCGGATATAGAAATTGAATTAATAATAATAATATCCATTTTCCTCTGGCGCGTAAGTTCCGCGTCGCTTTGCTTCGCCCTCTCCGCCCGCGGCTTACCTGCCCTTCCAGCTACAGTAGTCGGCGGCGCACGGCTGCAGCCACAGGCGGAACAGCAGCGGGAGCAGCATCCGCATCCGCGGCGTCCCTGCGCGCTTGCTCCGCGCCTCCCTCTCCGGGAACATCAAGCGGCGGCTTGGGGGCAGCTGGGAGCCGGGCCAGCGCGAAGCCAGTCCCTCCGTCGAGAAGGGAAGGAGAGGGGAGCCCAAAAGGGTGCTTCGTTTTCCTTTCTCTCTACGCGGGATGGAGAAGGAAAGCGGCCTCGTTGGAGAGCGCGGGATGGAGACTGGAGAGACAGAGGCGCGCGCTGTGCGCAACAGGACGAAGCGAATGAAACGGGAGAGCGCCCGACCCTCCCTACCCGCGTCCCATGCCTGTATTTCAACGAGGTCTAATCTGCGGTTGAGTTGACAGATGTCCCTGGTTTTCCAGAACTCCCACTTCTCCCCCCAGCATCGCCAAACACAGGGGCTGCGCTTTGTTGCAAAGAGGCGCCCCCCCAAACCAAATTATACATACATAAGGGAGCAAGGAGCGTCCTCGCCATTACTGATTGCCCAGTTAGTGTGCATGCGTGCATTTAGTCGTATATGTATGGGCTGTGGGTTGGGAAGGTGGTATAGAAAAGAATAACAGCAACTTATTATCGTTATTAATATTATATTACTATTTCCATCTCATTATTACATCTCTCTCCTGCAGCCTTCACCACTAACGCTAGGACCAACAACGGATCAAGACAGACCACATAAGAGATGAGATGATGTCGAAATGGCAAAATTAACTGGGAAGCTCAGAAATCAAGAAGACAAGAACTTTAAGAAAACCACACTTGTAAAGTAACGGAGACTATGGATAATTTAGAAGGACAAGAATTTGGATATGCAGTTGTAAATATTATCATTATCATCCATGGAAAGGATGGGTGGGGGTGGAGTCAGGAAATTTAGAGTAATCTCAATATTTGTATTTGGAATTGTTTTTTGTTACATGTTTATGCTTTTTAAAAAATCAAATACAAAAAATATTTTTTAAAAAACACAATACAGTGGTATGCTTCAGGTTACATATGCTTCAGGTTACAGACTCCGCTAACCCAGAACTATTACCTCAGGTTAAGAACTTTGCTTCAGGATGAGAACAGAAATTGTGCAGCAGTGGCACAGTGGCAGCGGCGCCACCCATTAGCTAAAGTGGTGCTTCAGGTTAAGAACAGACCTCCAGAACGAATTAAGTTCTTAACCTGAGGTACCACTGTACAGGCCACATAAGCAAAAGGCAGCAGGTTTAAACTACTTAATACAAGTAGGACTCAAACCAATGGCTTCAAGTTACAAGAAAGAAGATTCCAACTAAACACCAGGAAAAACATTTCTGACAGTAAGAGCTGCTTGACAGTGGAACAGACTCCTGCGAGAAGTGGTGGACTCTCCTTCCTTGGAGGTTTTTAAGCAGAGGTTGGGTGGCCATCTATCACAGGTTGGGCTAGATGACTCTTGCGACCCCTTCCAACTCTACAATTCTCCGAGTCAAAAAATGGCTTCGAAGGGTCAGCTCCCACTTTATAGTTTTATGTGCAGCTCTAAACTCTAGGCCATGGGTAGGCAAACTAAGGCCCGGGGCTGGATCCGGCCCAATCGCCTTCTAAATCCGGCCCGCGGACGGTCCGGGAATTAGCGTGTTTTTACATGAGTAGAATGTGTCCTTTTATTTAAAATGCATCTCTGGGTTCTTTGTGGGGCATAGGAATTCGTTCATTTCCCCCTGCCCCAAAATATAGTCTGCCCCCCCACAAGGTCTGAAGGACAGTGGACCGGCCCCCTGCTAAGAAAGTTTGCTGACCTCTGGCCTAGGCAAACTCCATCCTTCCAGATGTTTGGGACTATAATTCCCATCATCCCTGACCACTGGTCCTGTTAGCTAGGGATGATGGGAATTGTAGTCCCAAACATCTGGAGGGCTGGAGTTTGCCTAGGCCATGGGTAGCCAAACTAAGGCCCGGGGGCCAGATCTGGCCCAATCGCCTACTAAATCCGGCCCGTGGACGGTCTGGGAATCAGCATGTTTTTACATGAGTAGAATGTGTGCTTTTATTTAAAATTCATCTCTGGGTTATTTGTGGTGCATAGGAATTTGTTCATTCCGCCCCCCCCCCCAATACAGTCTGGCCCCTGCAAGGTCTGTGGGACAGTGGACCGGTCCCCTGCTGAAAAAGTTTGCAGACCCCGATCTAGGCCTTCTTCAGCAAGCACCCTTGTATAAATGCTATAAATATTGCAGTTGTCCAGCTGATTGTTGCAGGTGTGTGTTGATGCACTTAATACTTCACCTGCTCTTTGCACACTTTTGCTAAGTGCGCAACGCGGACCTGAGGTTTCCTTCGCAGCTGCATGAGGCTTCGGTTTTTGTTTGTATGTTGTCCATTCCCCCCCACCCTGCAATAAACTCACAAGAATGCACCTTCGATTTTAAACAGCCTCTCCATTGGGTTTTGGAGTACAGTAACGGTTGAGAAAGGCTCAAAAGTAATGACAGTGCCAGAGAGGAAAACAATCTCTGTTTTACTTGGCTCTTAAGAAGTGCATTTTTAAAAAGCCAGTCACCTTTGAGGAGTGCACTGGTGTTTCTAAGCGTTGCCAGGTTGCCACCCGGGCAAGGCTCTTTTGTTATTTTTAAACCTGCTGCTGTTTATTCCTTCCTCTTTTGTCTCTGCCAGCTGTAGTGAGCAGGACTCTAATGTGCTTCACAGCAGGCAGAGAAGAGGTGAATTAAAAGGCCAAGGAGGAAAACCAGCAGGAAGCCCCAAGGCTTTTCCCATCCCCTGTTAAAGGAAAAAAAAGGGGGGTGTTTTTTTTTTGCAGAATTTTCAGGTTCTGTGCAGGCAATCTGACTGGTATTTCATATTCAATGTCCAAACATACATAGTAACTAAATCTGAAAAAGCGTTGCATGGCAATGCATTTCATTAAGATGATTTTTCTAACTTGCTTTTTTTTTTTTAATGGAGGAAGCCACCAGCATAATTGCCAGCTGCCGTTATAATTGAACCCCACCCCCACTGCCGATTCATTTTCTGGGAAACAAAGTGCCTGTTTTCCTTTGGCCAAATGCTGGTGGTTATGAAATGGTTTTGATGATTTGAGTACAAGGGACTGTGAAGTGGCTACTGCTGGAGACCAATTGGAGCAAGGTGAAGCAACGTGGCTTTGTGATAACCTTCTGGGAGGTTTTAAATTCTCCTCGTCTAAAGTCAGGAATCTGAAGAATATCTGAAGGAGCGTCTCCACCCCCATCGTTCCACCCGGACACTGAGGTCCAGTGCCGAGGGCCTTCTGGCGGTTCCCTCATGCGAGAAGCAAAGCTACAGGGAACCAGGCAGAGGGCCTTCTCGGTAGTGGCTCCCGCCCTGTGGAACGCCCTCCCACCAGATGTCAAAGAGAACAACAACTACCAGACTTTTAGACGACATCTGAAGGCAGCCCTGTTTAGGGAAGCTTTTAAGGTTTAATGCATTATTGTATTTTAATATTGTGTTGGAAGCCGCCCAGAGTGGCTGGGGAAACCCAGCCAGATGGGCAGGGTATGTAAATTATAATATAATATAATATAATATAATATAATATAATATAATATTATAATATAATATAATATAATATAATATAATATAATATAATATAATATAATATAATTATAATATAATATAATATAATATAATACAGTGTTTCCCAACCTTTTTTGGGCAAAGGCACACTTGTTTCATGAAAAAAATCTCGAGGCACACCACCATGCCAGATGGGGAAAGGTCACTTTTTACCTATGTAAAAAAAAAAAAAAAAAAAAAAGTAACAGCATAGAAGGTAATGGTAAGCTATAGCTTGTTTAGCTTATACCTAAATCCAACACTGATTGGTCTCCCTTCCAAGGCACTCGAGGTCCCACATGAAAGCGAGCCCCCAGCAAGGCCTCGACGGCCTGCAAGGCGCTTCCCCTTGCGAGTTGGGAAACGGACGGGCGGCGGCCCGAGCACGACCTGGCGCCCTCTCAGCTCAGCGAGCACGACCTGAAAGCTCTGGCCGCCTCCCTGCACGCCCTCCCGGACCTGGAGTACGGCGGCAGCAGCGCGCCTCCTTCGACGGGCCCCGACAGCAACCGCGAGCGGCCCCGTCGGTGGGCCTCGGCGGCGGACCTCCTGCAGGACAGCTCCGGCTTCGCGCCGGACTACGAGGGCTTCGAGTACCGGGGCGACCCTTACGAGGAGGTGGAGCCGCTGCGGAACCTGCCCGCCTTCGAGGCGTGCTCGCCGGCCTCGTCCGAGTCCAGCATCGACATCTGCTTCCTGAGGCCCGTCCACTTCACCAACGAGCCCGGCAGGACGGAGCGCACGCTGCAGCCGCTGCCCAAGAGCGCGGTGCCGACGCCGCAAGCCAGCGGCACCTACAAGCGCGAGGTTTTCCGCAGCAAAGGCAAGCAGCTGAGCCGCTCGCTCAAGGAGTTCCCGCGCAGCAGCGGAGGCGGCGGCGGCTCCGAAGGCATCGCCAGCACCAGGCTGTACAGCACCCGTAGCAGCAGCGGCAGCCGCCTGCCGGCCCCGACGGAGAGGGGCTTCCCGGCCCACGGCGCCCCCTCCGCCGCCTCCCGGAGCTCCCAGCGGCACCACTTCCCGCTGCCGAGAGGAGCGGGCGACCAGCCCAGCTTTCTGGAAGTAAGGAGAGCAAAAGGCAAGGGCAAAGGCGCTTCCTAGCCAGGGTCTAAGCGTGCCTATGTGGGGCACGTTACAGCCCCGTGACGTCAGCGCCATGCAGGCAGCCAGGCAGGCAGACGGCGAGAGCCCCGCGCTGGGCGGCCTCTCCTCGCCGCCGCCGCCCCGCCTCTCGCCGCCCGACTCGCCCGCCTCCCTCCCACGGCACACCAGGCAACGTGTCGCAGCACACTAGTGTGCCGCGGAACACCGGTTGGGAAACACTGATATAATATACTATACTACAATACAATACAATACAATACAATACAATACAATACAATACAATACAATACAATACAATACAATACAATACTCCACTCAAAGTCAAGCATAGCTGCATCCCACTGATTTCAAGAGGAGTTCCCAAGACCAAACCGGAAAAAAACCACTGAAGAATTGTGAACCTTTTCAGAGGCATGAAGTGATTTTTTTTGTAGGAGAACCGTTAGGGCTGGAGGCACCAGCTTGTGAGTGATCACCTGAGCATCTTGTGCCTCCATCCCTAAGACAGACAGAAGAAGCTTCAGGGGTTTGGGGAAGGAGATGCCAGGCCTCTGACAAGATGCTGGAGTCCTCCTGCCTCCTCCCCAGGTGGGCTTTGGGAAGGTGGCGGAAGAGCTCTTGGATCCATCTGAGCATTGCACCTCCCTCCCTATGCTGGGCAGAAGCTTCCTGGGCTTTGGGAAGGAGCTGCCAGCGGGAAAATTTAGGAGGAGGAGGAGTTTGGATGTGATATCCCGCTTTATCACTACCTGAAGGAGTCTCAAAGCGGCTAGCAATCTCCTTTTCCCTTCCTCCCCCAAAACAAACACTCTGTGAGGCGAGTGAGGCTGAGAGACTTCAGAGAAGTATGACTAGCCCAAGGTCACCCAGCAGCTGCATGTGGAGCAGCGGGGACGCGAACCCGGTTCACCAGATTACGAGTCCACTGCTCTTAACCACTACACCAGTTCCCCTGGTCCAC